TCTTTCTGTCTTTCTTTCTGTCTTTCTTTCTGTCTTTCTTTCTTGTAATTCAGTCAAGGGATGGGTGATAGGGGGTTTTCTGTGTTTCGCCACAAGGCAAAAGAGCATCTTGAGAAAAGATCAATCTGAAATATAAGAGTAAGCAGAAGGAAGTCCATACATCCTTCTGGCTCCCATTGACAGCAGCTGGTTTTAGATTGACAGCATACTTAGAAAATTGTCATCGAGGTGTTAAGTATCTAGTAAGGGTAGGAAGTAGGCTGTAAATTATAAGACATCTAAGATGCTCAGACTATATAAAGAGCTGGGTGGGTAACTCCAGTTCCTGGGTGACTCCATAATTTTCCTTTCTGAATGCAGCTTTGCAAGGGTATCTTCAATTACGGCTCATACATATACTTCAGAGAAACATATTTTGTCTTTGGAATGCCATTTGGTGCAGTCTGCTTCATATTTTATGGAAGTACTTTGTAGAAGAACAAGTCATTTTATATTTATGTGCCATGCATTTTTCATTCTATCAAGATACTTACTCAAACATTACACTGAAGAATTTGTTTTTGTCTGTTCCTCCCTTTCTGAATCTGTCTTAACAATTATTTTCTCTTTTCCTATCAGTCTTCAAAAGCCATTGTACCTTGAAAGGCTCTTTTTGGTCGACATGAAAGCACTAGTAGGTGTAGGAGGATATCCTAAATAGTGGAATTATTAGCAATTCTTATTAGCAATTCTGTTCATAATAAGTGCTCATGCATGTGTTCTGAAGTGCAGGTGGCTGTTCTTGTTTTTTATTTGACATATGAATATTTCACCTTCATGTGAGGAAGAAGGCAGAAGGCAGCAAGTCATGTATCCGTTGTCTGGTTAGGTAGTACAAACAGGCATTGCTGTTAAGTATTAGGGTTTATTTATGTTCTCACCTTTCAGCATGCGTTCGGTATAACTAGAAGTCTAGTTAAACAGTTATGTAATTGTTCTAATAACTGATTTGCTGGGAGAAATTTGCTTCTAGAGAATGGCAATAAAGACCAGGAACTGAAATGGGTGTATTTCTCCTGTCCCTTCACTGTTTTTAAATAGTGTTGTTCTTTTCATATGCTTTTTATGAAAAACGGTGTCAAGATTAATGTGTAGGCTGGCAAGTTGAGAAGCCAAAAAAAAATCAAAGAAACTATTTGCTCAAAGGGAGGTGCCCTGTATTGTAAATGTGTTTCGTGTAGTTGCTCGTTGGTTTTTGTTCCAGCAGTGGTTGTATGAGGATCCCTGCAGCCCCAGTCCTGCACTGCCAGGGAGAGTTGGCATTTTTGGCCTTTTGGGTAAATAAATGACATCACCCTGTTCATCCATAGAGCTCCACAGAGGCAATTTAAAATATTATCCCTGTTAGAATATAGGAGAGAGTGGTAGCATGGCTACCACCCCGTGGCAACTCTAGGCAAGTACTTCCCAAGAAGTTTCAAAGTTTGGATAACAGGAACGGAAATCTGTTGGCTATGCATTGGACTTATTTTGAATGCAAAATGATATGTGGGTTAATATATAGTATATATAGTGTGATCCTGTGCTTGTGTCTGTATATTGTATAGTGTATATATGTGTCTGTATATTGTATAGTGTGTCTGTGCTTATGCAAGGCTTCCTACAAATAATATTGTAGGGAAAGTGACCTTGTGTTAAAACACATTGTTCATCTGTGCATGTATGGGAGGAAAGGAAGCTGCTTGTCTGGCAGCAGCACTGCAGAGGAGCAGCTGGAGGTGCCGGGGACATCAAGGTAACAGGAGCCAGCCAGACACCCTTGTGGGCACGGAGACCCAGGGGCTGCATGAGGCAGTGTCAGCAGTCAAGCTTGCAATGGTGCATTCGGTTGTAGAAAACTTCCAAAAATCTTAATGGCATAAGGCAGTACACTATAAATATGCTGTATGGTTCTTCTGCACGCTCTTCATCCCTGTAATGTTGCTGCTTATCCCAAGAATTTTCTGTTTTAATAGTTTCAGTGCATTCTTGTTTATTGCTGACTGTTTCATCAGAAGATGAAAATATGCTGCTTTGTGTGTTGGGATAATATTTATCTGATGAATTAAGTGAAACCAGATGCATTTGTTTGGCTGCCCTTGTCTGCTTTTTGTGTCACTGAAATATTTTTCCTCTCCCTGTCTGTGTTTCCAGGAATCTAAAAGGACCTGTAGTTTTCAGCTGTTTATGTTAAATTCCAGTGCTTGCACCTCCTCCCTTAACACAGCTTGTTCTGGGAGGAGAGCTTATTGGTGGCTACCATCTTTACAAGGCATTGCTCTGTTCCAGCTGAAACAAGAATCACCCTGTTTGAGCTGATGTCTTTGAGCAGAGGGTAGTGAAAGTGGAGTGGCTGAGGTCCAAAAGGGCTATTGGAAGAGACAAATCCTGGGGCTCCAGTAGGCAGGGGTGTCCCTTTCTGCTGTCAGGTCAGAGTAGGGAAACGGGTCATAAATTGGTGGGGTGGCTGAAAGGGCTGTGCTGAGGCTGCCATCCACATTGTTAGTGCAGGTTAGCTCTGCCCTTCCTCTTGCTTTGCTCAGGTCCATGTTTTCGAGGCTCAGATCTCCTGCTGGCAGCAGCATCCCTGGGCACAGGGAACTCTGAACAGAGCCCATCCAATGGACCCAGTGCAAGCAGATTGTTTCAGCAGGCTCGAGGAAGACCAAAAGTGGCCAGAGCACCAAGCTCTGGCAGGGTTAAAGACTTCTGAGGAGAAGGGTGCTTAGCCCTGGCAGGGAGGCTTTCAGCCTGGAGGGCACTGGGTGCTTGACATCATGTCAGTCCAATCTTGAATTGCCCTGAGATCAGTGAGTGCTAAAAGTGGCTGCGTAGTAATAAAAGGGTCATGTAATCCAGTGATTTTTCTCTGAGAAATTCGCGCTGCTGAGAGGGGAGGCAGTCTATCATCAGGCATTTTGTCCATGATTGATTATATTTAGTGAAATTTAAGTTGCCGGAGCTCAGCAATACTTGGATGTCTTTGCAAATGCTAAAAGACACTCCATGGCAGTTGTGGTTCAAATAGATAGATGTGAGCTCTCTACTAAGACAGTATGGTTGAGAACCTTTCAGTAGCAGCATTATTATTTTGCCTTGATTTTGAACCCAGAACACTAACCTTTGCCATTTAATGGAGACAGGCTTGTTTGGAAGGTTTATCCAAGCAAAAGAAGGCAAAAACTGCCTTTACTGTTGTGCAGGTCACCGGTCTGATCTGGAACTATCTGCTGTCTGGAAGAAGAAACCAGAGATGGATTTGCAGCTACTCATGTCATTGCAGGGAGTAGATAGACATAAGGTGTAGTGAGCAAACTGCAAGAACAATTAGCAAAGCATCAAGAATGCTCAGAAAACCTGGATGGGCTTTTGAGGGTTATGGCACAGGAGAAAAGCTCTTGGGCGTGAATATGGAAAAGAAGAATCAGAACTTTGGACAAAGAAGAAATCACTCTTGGCCAGAGCAGAGGATTCACAATTGCTACCTGAAGGAATCCTTTTCCAAAGCTTTCAGAGCACCCACAGGCCGGGGGGCTGCAGAACAGCTGGTGTTTTGGGGATCCCAGTGGAAGCAGAATGGGAGCCAACCCTGTAACATGACCACGTGTCCACAATAACCCAGCTATTTCAGAGCCTAGTCCCTTATGAAGCATTACCCACCGGAACCTCCTGCCCTGGGGTTACAGTCCCCAGTCCTGTTTTGGTTTTGCCCTCTAAAAGTGTGTGTTTTCTCGTTTTCTCCCTGCAGCATTTTACTGCTATTTCCAGTGAAGCCACTGTCCAGCTTTTTGAGTCCCCTCTGAGATGATGCACGTGCAGGGCCTGTGGGCCCAGGTAGCTGCTGTGCTCTGTGTGGGGAGACTCTGTGTGCCCGTGGCTAATAGGGAGGGTGTGAAAGGAGGTGCTGGGGCTGAGGAGGGTGACAGCCTGGCAGGTTAAACCCAAAGAACCTGGCTGCTGTTGAGTGGGAGCTGTGCTGAGGAAGTGTCCTGGGGTGCCTTGGCCTGCAGGAAGGGGTTGGAAGAGTAGAGGAGCTTGAGCTTTATTTTTTTTTTTTGAAAACCAGGAGAGAGCCTGGAGATAGTGGGAGAGTGTAGTTGTATTGAGAAGATTCCGTGGTGTGAAAGGGGCCTGGGGTTGAGTGGACAGAACCTCATTTGAGAGTGACTGAGAGGACCTGGGGGTTTTGTCAACATCCTGCCTGAGCAGCTGGAGATAGTGGCTCTGCCCTTTGCCTCTATTTAGCACTTGTGAGGTCGCTTCTGGGGTGCAGCTTGGGGCTCCCCAGGATGAGAGTGACAGTGACGTACAGCATGTCCAGAGGGGGACTGCATTAGAGGGCTGCAGCCCACGGCAGAGGAGGAGGAGACCCTGAAGAAACTACATTTGTTCAGAAGAGACCTGACCGGTGCTGCTGCCGTTGTCAGCTGTTTAATGGGAGAAGAAGGAGCCAGACTCCTCCCAGAGGTGCACAGTACAAAGATATGCAGTGGGGACAGGCTGGAAAGTGGCAGATTCCAGATAGATACCAGAATGTTCTGTTGTTTTTGTTTAAACCATAAAGATGGTCAAATCCTGGAAGAAATGCCCAGAAATGCGTGTTTGGAGATGCTATGCTCAGAATCCAACTGGACAAGCCCCAGGGCAACCTGACCTGCTGGACTGTGCTTTGCAGGTTTGGATTTGGTTCCAAAGTTCCCTTCCAGCCTGAGTGGCTCCAGGGTCAGAGCTAGGAGCTCTGCTACGAGGGTCTCAGGGTCTACAACAGACATGAGGAATGGGAGTGCAAGGAGCTGTTGGTGGGAGTTTGGGTTACGATGGGACCGTGCTTGATGCCTGAGTTTGGGAAGATGGGCATTAATATTGCCTCTCTTTTCTTCTCTCACAGTTCTTCACTGTGTTTTTCTTTGCTGTTGGAAATGTGATAGTTGCATCTCATATGTTGTTATTTTTAAGGACCTGACTCATGCACCACAGAGATTGGAGCCATCAGTGTTAGGTCTTACATGCCAGTATTTTTATCCTTAAGGGCCAGTGGCAGAAGCAGTAATGCACAAGTCACATTGTTTAAACAGACAGCCTTAAGTTTTTTAGTTGGCAGTGTTCTGCTGTGGTGCCACATCTGTTTAGTTTTCAATGGGTTTTTTTAAGTCATTTTTTGAAACACAGGCAGTCCCATCTCCATGTGAGGAAGAACTTCTTCCCTGTGAGGGTGCCAGAGCCCTGGCACCGGCTGCCTAGGGAGGCTGTGGAGTCTCCTTCTCTGGAGATCTTCCAAAACTGCCTGGATGCCGCCCTGTGTCCCGTGCTCTGGGTGTCCCTGCTGGAGTGGGGGGTTGGACTAGATGATCTCTAGAGGTCCCTTCCAACCTCAACCACTCTGTGATTCTGTGGGAATAGCGAGCACAGAGCTGCCTGTACACACCTAGCTAACCCTACACACGTGGTACTTTGCACACGCTCATTACAAGACAGAGTTTGGTGGCTTGTTTGTTTTGGGGGAAGCACAGGGTAGTTTTGAGCTGCAAGCAAGCTGGGCTCCGCATCCCTGGAATTATTGACAAGGGACAAGCAAAGAGGATTTACCAGGGGCCTGAAGCTGTTCAGCTCTCTGCAGTCACTGATATTGATCTACCAAAAGACTGCTTGTTTTCGTCTTCATTAGCATATCTAACAGGCAGAGTATAGATTCATTCTTCTTTACCATATATGTGTCTGAAAATAAAGTGAATATTTAAGGCAATGTACCTGTTTGTGTCTTGACACTAAACTTTAATCCATAAAAAATTTATACAGTTTATGAGAAGGCAGAAGTATTACCTGATCCCTACAATGTTTTACCTTTACAGCGCTCAAAAGTCAGTTATATCTTCAAATTGAATCATTCATTTTCTTCTAGGAAATTGAAAAATGAGCTGCTGGAAGTGAGAAGGAAAGGTGGAAACCGCCACAGTCAGCAGGACAGCAGCAGAGTCTGTGTTCGCTGCCAGAAAAATCTGGGCCTCATCTTTGACCGGGGAGAGCTGTGCCCGGCCTGCAAGCTCCGAGTCTGCGCCCAGTGTCGTGTGGCGGGCAGCGACGGCCAGTGGAAGTGCTCGGTGTGCGCGAAGATTGCGTAAGTTGGGGAGCTCTCCTAAATTCCCTTAGCCGTTACCCCATGCTAAGTCACTTTTGTGTTTTGTATCCCCTTCGCACAAATGCATACACGTAGCAGACACGTGTATGCATAAGAAGACAGGCTTAACTGGTGTGTTTATTTGCTGCACTACTTGGTAGTATCTATTCTTTTCCAGTTCAAACCAGCTCTCCTTCTTTCTAAGGAAAGCTGCAGGCATTGCAGATGCTGAGCTGCTGGTATAGAGGGCCTGGAAGTGAGGGAAAATCAATGCTATGACAATGACAGTCCATTCACATTATTTAGACACAAATGGAAAAATCAAATGATAACAGAATTATGAGCCAGTGAGGAGAATATGTTCTGACTAATGTGGTAAGGGGATTTGTGAGGAAACGGATGTAAAAAGTGGGCGTAAAAGCATTTCAAGTTGTGGTTCTGTTCTTGCTCTTTTTCTGTGTTTATAGAAATTTTCCCCATGAAAGGAAAAAGCTGCATTTATAAAATTTGCTCCTTGGATGCTTAGTGTTAGCTAGAGTTATAAAGAGAATTGTTACATGATGGCAAGGGGAGTAAAGGGGTTAAATAAATCTTCATGTTTTTTGATGCTGTAGTGATGAGTATGGGCAATGGGAGAGGTAGGCAGCCGTGGTGAAAAGGCAGAGAGTAGGTACTGTAACACAGGATGTCAGGTGAATAAAGAAGGGAAATCTTAACATGTGATCCAGATGATCTGTTTCATATACAGCAAAACCTTGGAGAAATAAATCATGTGATTGGAATATTGATATAGGAGTTTGGAACTTGACTCAGTAAAATAATCATGACGGAAAGGAAATAGTCTAATAAATCTAGTTTACATGTCCTGATGTAAGAACTGGATGTTATAAGGACAAAAACTAATAAGATTATCCTTTAAAAGGGAAAAGAATAATTCCATGGAGAGAGTTTCTTACAGGCTTCCATGAGATCTGGAAGAAAAAGCTTTTCTTAAATAGCATCGGAGAATGAACCCAAATTGGTAAAAAATTTCAGACTTTGGCTCCCTAGCCAGTTAGTGAACAGTGATTATAGCAGGACACAGAGTTTTAGTTTTACGTCTTTTAACCTTAGCTTTATAAGTTCAATATCTGGTTTTAGCCAGATGCTTTAGCCTCTTTCCGGTTGTTGGGGGGGTACGCCTGGAGGACAGTTTGTCTCACCTCTTCCAGGGTGGAACATGCTGAAGTAGTTGGATCGGTGTTTTCAGAAGGGTAAGAGTTGCGCTGAGCTCTTCCCGTTCTGTTCAGCCAGTTCTTGAGATGATCTCAGCTCCGTGTCTTTCAGAAATGATGCCTCCACGTGTGGTGACAGAGATGAACCCAGTACTACTCTTTTGAAATGAGGAAAACTAAGCATTTGTTGGCCTTGTCAGCTTAGGCATACTCTCTCAAAAAAAAAAAAAAAGAAACAAATGATCACCAGGCTGTTTGAAAGCACAAAGAAGACGACAGGAAGATGAGTAAGAGCTGTTTTGAGAACAAATAACGCCAGAACAATTTAATCTCTTCTCCTGCTAGGGTGACAGACCTCATGGCTGGAGGAGGAGCACGAGATGACTTGTAACTTGACTTCAGTGAACTTCTGATGTGTTCTCTCATGCCATTCTCATCACCTTATAAACAAGGGAGATTAAGCCCTGAAACAATTTTTGTCAGTGTGATTGCAGAGCTGCCTGGAAAATTAGGGAGCTCTGCTCTCACAGTAGTTAGCAGCATTTCAGTGTCCCAAAAAAACAGTGGTATTGAGTAGAATCTTTTGTGGGTTTGGTGCTGTTACTTATTTTAGTTATGGACTTAGATGCAGTAGATGAATATGTTGCTTATACTTGCAGGTATTGCTTATACTCAGGTGAAACTGAGAGGTGCTGCTGGCAGGCTGAAAGACAGCGCTGGGATTCATAGTGATGCCTACAGTTTGGAGAAAGAGGAAAAAGTAGATGGTGACTCCCCGAGGGCATGTGCAAGCACTACACTGACAAAATAATCAGCTGCAGAAACAGAGAATGAAAAAACTACTGGCTTATCCAGATGTTCCTTAGGAAAGGATCTGAGTGTTGCATTGATTAGAAAACTGAACACAATTGGTAGTTTTGTGTTACTGTGGAAGAGTCCAGCATCAGAGAGGAATGTGCAAGCAGGGTTATGGGCTGTAGAGAACATGATGCAGTGCTGCTATATGCAGAGTACTGTGCCCAGCTGTGTGTGGCACATGTCGTATTTTCCCTTTCCAAGGGCACGTCATGTTGGCCAGCTGCAGAAAGTTCAAGCGAGGGTGATGGGCAGAAGCCCAGGAAATACAGTACGGTCATAGCAGCATGCAACAGTATGGTCAGTTCCCAGTCTGTCCTAGTGCCTGGGGTTACTCCTCCCAGGACCCGGCACTTACCTTTGAACCTCTTGAGGTTCTTCCCTGACCATCTCTCCAGCCTGCCTAGCTCCCTCTGATGGTCACCCCAGCTCTCTGGGGTGTCAGCCCCCCTCCCTGTTTTGTATCATCAGCAAACGTGCTGAGGGTGACTCTGTCCCCTCACCCAGGTCACTGATGAATACACTGAACAGGATTGGACCCAGTACTGACCCCCCGGTGGTCACTGCTAGTGCTCAGCCCCCAGCTGGACTTTGCAGCCTTCATCACAACCTTCTGAGCTTGGCCACAGACAGTTGTCAGTCCACCTCACTGTCCACTCATCTATCCCTCATTTCCTGAGCTTACCTGGGAGAATGTTATGGGAGACGACGTTGAAAGCCTTGCTGAAGTCCGAGTAGACAACATCCACTACTGGGATGATGGGAGCATCATCCATCCATCCCTCCATCCATCTATCAATCCATTCTTTGAGCCATCTTATCATAGAAGATTGGTTAAGCATGATTTCTGCTTTGAAAATCCATTCTGACCACTCCCGATCTCCTTTCACGTGCTTAGAGATGGCATCCAGGGTGAGCTGCTCTATCACTTTTCCAGGGATGGAAGTGAGTCTGACTGACCTGTGGTTCCCTGCACCCTCCTTCTTGCCCTTCCTGAAGCCTGGAGTGACATGAGTCCTCCTGCACCTCCCCCGTTCCCCATGACCTTTCAGAGATGTTGGAGCGTGGGCTGGCAATGACCTCTGCCAGTTCCCTCCCTCATCACTCATGGGTGCCTCCCATCCCTTGGATCTGTGCGTGTCAGCTTTACCTAACCGACCTCTGACCCTACTCAACTAAGGGAGTTTTCCTTTCTCCAGATGTCTCTCCTGTCTCCATGACATGGAATTGCAGAGGGCTGATCTTGGCAGTGACGACTGAAGCAAAGAAGGCATCTCCGGATCTGTCACCAAAGCCCCTGCCCCTCTCAGCAGTAGGCCCACATTTTCTCTACTCTTCCCATTGTTACTGATGTTGTGCTTGATATCCCTTGCCAAGTTCAACTCCGAAATAAACCTTGACCTTCCTAGTCCTATTCCTGCAAGCTGTTACAGTGCTCCTGTATTCCTCCCGGGTGACCTGTCCGTGCACTTCCTCCCTCTGTTGGATCCAGGAGCTTCTTCTTCATCCTGTCCCCTTTTCTGCACCTCTTGCTCATAGGGATGCAGTAATCCCGAGCTTGGAGGATGCGATGCTTGAATACTAACCAGCTCTTATGGACCCTCCTTCCTTATAGGGCTCAGGAGTTGGATTCAATGGAGATACCTATTGGTATTTAAATAATTCTGGTTTGTATTCATTCAGTTCCACTTTCCTCTGTCTCATTTGACTTTTCTGCAGAGAAAAATAGGATTTCTAAGCCTTTCAAATTAGATTTGGAGAAGGAAATGATAGAGTTAATGCCAACAGGCCCATTGACCAGATTGCAAGGCAGAAGGCAAGGAAAACAGAATGGAAACCCAATGTTAAGGGACAGTTAGGCTGTATGAGTTGGAAACAAAAGGCAGAAGAATAGCAGGAAGGATTTGGGTTTTTATTTTTGTTGTTGTTGTTGTTGTGGAGCTGATCTGTATACAGCATTTGAGTGTGTCAAGCTGGATTGTTACACCATGCTCCTGACTTTGTAAAATGTGTTAATATTTCACTTCTTTCCCCGCTTTTTCTTTTGCCTGCCTTGGGGAATGAACAGTCATTGACACCTGTATAGAAACCCATGTAGCAGCACCGGTTGTGCTTTTCTGGTAACAACAGCAGGTCGTGCTGGTGTCACTGTGTGACTCTTAAAAAAGGGAGGACGAAGAAATGGCCGTGGGCACTTGTTTGGTTTTTGGCGCTACCAATTCTTGGCTGTTTTGCTAAAACTGTCTACAGGAACGTGTCCAAGTGCCACTTCAGGCGATGGTGGAGTGGTAACCCCTGAAAATGCCAGCTATTCCTGTGGGCATAGTAGATGATAATATATATATATGTAAGTATGGAAGTGAATCTTTTGGAACTGTTGGAAGGCCTCCTGCATTACACTTCCTGTCAGCAAAGAAGTTCTCGTGCTGGTATTGAGCGTGTTTATTGGAAGCAATGATGATTTTTTTTTATGGCATGTTGATGAGTGAAAATCCCTTGCAGAAATCCCTTGAGTCACACAGACTAAATGGGTGCTGAAACTTGTGGCCATGAAAGAAAGTGTGAATATTGTATTTGCCATTTCCTGCATGCTGCTTCATTTTGACCTTCTTTGCTTTTGAGCAACTTGAGTCCTACATAGTTATAGATTGAGGTGCATTTAATGCCACAAAAGGACTTTCCATCACATAGTTTGAGATCAAATGTTATCATTGATTTGATATTTTATGCTAGGATTAAGTCCACCTACCAGAAAACCTAGGAAAAGTCTAAGGCAAGTCACAAATACGCTGGTTTGAGGACTGGGTTATTTCTAAAAGTACATTTTTAAGGAAAAGGTAAAATAAAGTGTTATTTTTCAAACGAGTCAAAAATTACATGGTAGTGTCATGGTAGCCCTAGGGATGAGATATCAGTCTTCTTAATAATAATAAAAATTTATTTATGTGCCTGTCAATCAGAACACCTTCACCTGGGAACAACTGGATCTGACTTCACTCCTCCACTTATCAAAATAATCTTTTAAACATTCTTCTATCATTCCTCCTAAGGCAGACAATGCCTGCATATGATGGTGGGGAAGCCCGTTGGCAGCACATTGATGATATTCCACAAAACCTCCTCAAAACATTTTGTGAAGTCGAGGAGAGAAATGTGAATGTGAAAAGTTAGGTTTTTCTAGCAGGATTTTTATGTATACCAACCTCATTAAATTGTCTTAGAATTTACAGTTACAGGAAGACTTTTCCCCTTGACTGTACATAAACAGAATTTTTTTCCTTTGTGAGAGTTACTACCAAGCTGCAAAATGAAGAATTTAAAGATGAAGAAGTGTGAGAGCAAAGTCTTCTCCCATATTCTTAGTTTTCTAAGGGTAGAGAATGAGATTTATGGGCGTGATGATAGATTTCATGGATCGTGACCGTTCTTGTTTGCTTTTAACAGGGCAAACTGAGCACGTGGATAGAGATGCAGTTGAGGACAGAGGAGGTTTTCTGCTCCATTCCCTGCCTCTGAGGGCCGACTGTGCTCATGAGTAGCTTTCAGCCATAGGTGTAAAAGAGCAGCTTTCCAGCGTGGCCACTTGATTCTGCATCTTCAGAAAACAGAATTTGGTCACTTGGTGTTTGGACGGTGGCGTGGCGAGCGGTGCGAGCGCTGGGCTGAGGGAAATGCCGGTTCTGCGAGGAGCCTCTGCTGGCAGGCTCGGCGCCGCCGCCGCTCCTTCTCCTTATGGATGCGTCTGGAACAATTTGTTTGTTTTGATTGAGGTCTTCAGCGAGATAAAATGCCTCCACGGCCTACGCTCTTACAGCAGAATAAAGCTATAATGAGAAGAATTAATTACATTGTTTCAAAGTGTCATTAAAATTCAGTGGTATCTTGGTAACATTTGTGCAAGTTAGGAGCCTAAGAACAGGGATGGTTCGAGTGCCCCAGTATGCAAATATGCGTGAGCTTTCTTGTCTTCTTTCTTTCTTTATTTTTTGTAACTTATAAGTATAAGCTTGGCTTGCTTTTTTTTATAGTGTCACAAATTTAGTGGCCTCCCAGCTTTTGAAAATACTCTGAAATTATTTTATGTTACAGAAAATACGCTGTGAAATCAAATGCATACAAAGATAAGTTGGATTAGATGATCTCTAGAGGTCTCTTCCAACCTTAATGATTCTGTGATTCTGTGGTTCTGTGACAAGTTTTGGCATGTTTATCTATGAGCTACATGTTCTCAAGCCTCTGGTCTTGCAGCTTTTCTAGTTGTACTTCTGAGGAGCAAGGATGGTAGCAGAGCAAGATGAGAGGGGAAGGAAGCTGGAGCAAATCTCTCTTTACTCTGCTGGGAAGATGGGTGAGGCTGGGTGGCTACCAAGCAGTGAGGCATTGGTAGCCCCTGTTTATTAAATGGGTTCTTTTTGTTTTGTTTTCCAAACAAAATGTTTAAAGATAAAAATTGGGCCTTTCCGACTTGAAGAAATTTTTATCCTTGAACATTTAGCCATGAAATTACCTTGCAGGAATGAGAGCGGAAAATAAGCAGCCGAGCCCTTGGCAGGGCTGGGCCACAGGTTATTTTTCATATTGAAACTGAGCAGTGAGTTAATGGAGATAATCTGCTCGGGAGAAGGCTGCAGAGCAAGAAGCATGCAGCCCTAAAGTCCTATTTTTTACGTACTTGTGTTAATGTGTAAGGATTTAGATGAAATCTAAAGTATTCCACCCTAAACCCTGCTACGTAAACATGATTTTCTGAAAAATCTTCCTAGACATCTCAAGTACGGCATTTGAAATGTCCCCGTTCTTAGGCTTCTAACTTGCGTAAATCTTACAAAGATACTGATGAATGTTACTGAATTTTGCAATTGCAATCGTGCAAAAGCTGTTACTATTGGAATGTGTAACTCTTGCTTGCTTTGTTTGTGACACTAGTGGCTTCTGCATCTGTCTTTCACCCAGGAAGGCCCCTCTAAAGATGGTTTTAGGTAGAATGTATTTTTTTTTTTTATTATCTATCTTAGGAACCAACAGAAAAAGCAAGCATAAGTAAAGGAAAGGCAGGCAGTAACCACAAATTAGGTGTCACTGTGCAACTTTGACCCACTTTAGAAACAAGACAGAATAAACCTCTGAACACTGTTATTTGTTCTACTATTGACTGTGCAGCCTTATTTCTTTTATGGAGGGATTACCTAGATGGAAAGGGCTCGTGGAAGTCCTGCCTTACATCCAGGAAAAAGACATCTTTAGTCTTTCTGTGAATTGTTCATTGTTTATGAAAATTACACTTAAATATACCCCATCCAGTATTAATGCACTAGAACTTCAAAGGTATAAAGAAGTTCAAAGGTATAAAGTTCATATTTTTCCTCACAAAAAAATATCACAAAAGTGTTATTTTTGTAGAGGTGATTGTTAGATATGAACTTTTCCACGAGAAGGACTGCCAACTGAACTCAAGATCCCAAGACAGCATTGATGACAAGGCAGCATTGATGAGATGAGATTTAAGTGGAGGCTGAGGCTTGTTCCATCTGAGACATCCTGCATCTTGATGGATTTTTTTTTTCTTGATTTTTCAGTGTGGTTAGAATTGGCCTTAGGGGTGAAACATTTGAAGGCAAGGCAATATTCCTTCTATTTTCTGTGTTTCATGTATTGATTGTGGGACTTGTTTGTGTTTACTAGAGACCTGCTTCTTCCAGTGTAGTCTAAGATTAGACCATTCTGAATCCTCTGCCCTCTTGCTGGAGGGAGCAGAACGGGGGAGGTTTTTCTCAAAGGAAACAGGGCTGAGGAGGCAGCGACAGGAGTTGCAGTAAATTGTGACATTAAACAACAGGCTCAGAGAGGTGCATGCTGTGAATGGGCAGGGAAAATGCACCTTCAGAGAAAGCCTTTTCATTTCGTATTAGCAGAAGGTGCATAGTCTCTGGTAAAAATAAAGCCTTCCTGCTGCTGATGCTTATCAAAAGTCATTAAAAAGCAAACAGCAAACAAAACCAAACCACCACCACGAAAAACAGGGTAAGGCAATAATGATTTATTGGTACCTTTGTGAGCAGGTGTTCTGAATTGTGTTTGTTTCTTTGTCTGAGCCTAGTTTAGTAGAAGTGAAAAGCGCCTGCATGATTCATGGGAAAGAAGAGATGATGTTTTGACTAAGGCAGGATGCGATTCTGTAATTTTTTGTCTTTTCCAGGTCAGACTCGCCACTCAGGCATGACTCAAAGTGATTTAACAGAAAATATACTGATCAGGTCTTTAAATGGCTCTATGGTAATTTTCATGCCCAAAAGACCGAGTGATTTCTTTTTCTAGTGTAGGCTTGCAAGTAAGTTTTTTCCTGATTGTAATCTAGACGGGGGGCAGGAATATTCATACATAGTGACTTTTAGCCATCAGGTACACATAATATGGCAGTAGAAATGGTGAATGTAAGTGGTTCACTGAAAGGCTAGCAATTGGCATCAGAAACATACCTATGGAGAACAGCAGGGCCAACGCAGGATTTTCAGTTGTTCCATGAGTAGGAGGATTTGAGAACGTTCCAGGTACCCCAGAAAAAGCAGCATTATCCAAAACAGTAGCAAAGAAGGAAGTTCATTGCTCTGAACCTCAGGCACGTAGCAGACTCGTAGCAGTGCTCTCATTTGAAGACATTGACTGTAGAGGCAGCGTATGAAGCTGTAAAGGATATTAGGTTAAAAATACCTGTGAACTTGCAGCAAAATGTAGCCGGGTTGGATCCATGGCTTGTTTGGCAGGATTTTTGCTTTTTATATTTCCCTCCGTCCATTGTGGTTGTTTGCACATCTCTTATCTTCATGGAGACTCTGAAAATTGTGGAATTGAGTAGTTCCCTATCCAAAGGAAGAGGGAGAAAGAACATAGGAGTGGAGCACTTTTTCCAAAGTAAATTTCCCTGTGCTGAAAATTATTCACAAAACAGGATGATTGTTCTTTCTACTACATTTATCTTACAGCCTTGAGTTTGCAGTCATGCAAACGTTGTCCAGAGCTCATGAGTATGAGGAGTAGGTGGTGACCTAAGGGCTTAAACAGCAGTTTTGGTTGACCAGGCTTTTTAATGTGCATGTCTTGCTGGATCTTTTTCTTTTTCCCCATGTAGACAGCTGAGGATAGTGACAGGTGAATGGTTTTTCGAAGAGAGAGCAAAGCGCTTCAAACAGTCCAGTGTCCTTGGAACCGACGTTGTCAGACAGTCCATCCTGCGCAAATTCCCGGCTAATGGTGAGGACCTCCAGGGAAAACTTTGCTGTTTGTGCTTAAAACTTGGAAAACTTGTTTCCTGGGTATTCTGCTTAACCTGTATTTCATTTCTTTTTCACTGTAGAATGTGCAAGTATAATCAGTGTTTTAATCTTCGTTTTATACTGAGGTATTGTTATGCCCTGTTTATGAATAAGTATTAAATAGGAAAAGTAGAGCTGCTTAGGGAAGATCAGCTCCCTATTGGAAGCAAAGGCTCTAAGAGTTGATTCTTAATTCCTCCCAGAAAGTTTGTCTGTATCCACAGATAAACTAGCTATTCCTCTTTGCCTCCCCTTTAATTATATTGGCATTGAGTAAAATGTATAATTCCATTTTCATTGGAATTTTCTAAAGAAACTTGGAATTCCGAACAAGGAAAGCTAAACGGGAACTCATGTGCTGTCTCCTGGAGCATGGGCTGCATCTCACACTGCTGTCAGGCTCTGTTCCCCCTTGTCTTTCCCTGTGACCAGCCACCTCCCCTAAAAAAGCCCCTGCACTCCTAGGCTCAGAGTGAAACCATTAGCAGCTGTTAGGGACAAAAACCAGTCCGTGGCCAGTCTGCCATGACTGGTGCCTTGCCTGCTACCACAGGACACTGGTTGAAGAGCTAGGGGCTTTCCTGCATGCTGATGCTTCTCCCTCCCCCGGGCTGCTTTGCTTGGCACAGAGGAGCTTCCATTTTGATAGTCTGTTTTCAGAGAGAGCCTTTATCTGAACGGTGAAGGCAACTGGCAGTTCTTAGGAGGCAAGAATGAGTTGCTGCCATCGGAAAAAAACATGTGGTGTAAGTGCCCTGCTTGGCAGAATGCTGATCTTTCCAGCATGAGTGAGCTTCAGAAATTACCAAAATGGGCATGTCTCTGTGCCTTTGGTTTCCAGTGGTTTATGTTATGCAACCTGATTTATTTTGTGTTTTGTAAAAATATATTTACATTTTATAAATATTATATGGAAAATGATTTATATATTTTTTGCAGTTCTACTCCTGGCTGAGCAAACAATTGTGATTTAGAAAACATTTATTCATTTAACACAAAGAGTACTTTACACTGAGAAGTTATATTTTAAGCTCCGTGGTTGTGAACTATGTTATTTGTTGGGGACAAATTCAGAAGCATGGTTCATATCAAGAAACATTTCAAACTATTTCAAATTTATTTTCTTTTAATGAAAAGCAAAACCAAGCTTCTCAGATGATTCTGCATGCCATTTTATCATTTGTTCTTATTTAGTATTATCAAATGGAAAACTCTACTCTTGTAGGTCATGTTTGACATTTGCTGCCTTTTTTTCTGTAAACATTGTTTTTATTTCTCCTTCCTTCCCCATTGTAGATGCAGTTTCCAGTAAGGATGAAGGAAGACTGGATCAACCGCAGGAGAGTGCAGAAAAACATCCAGATGCATCAGCCTCCTCCTCAAATGGACATAAATCTATCTTCAGCGGACCTGGAAAGATAGGGTAAAGACTTTTCTCTTGGAAACTGGAAAACCAGCGTGCAGCTGCGTGCGGTCGCATGCATCTCTCTCTTCAGTCACTCTAGCATTCCTCATCAACCCCAGACTTCCCAGGGCTAGAAACAGTTCTCATTTAAGAGCTTGCCATAATTAGGCCACTGTCTCCTAGGAAATGCAGCAGTAATTATTCTTCAACTGTAAAGGTAGTAGATTAAAAAAAAAAAAAAAAAAATAGGCAGTTTCACTCCTGCATTCTTCCTGCTTATATATTGAAGTAACAGAATGTCCCCTGCTGGTCTGCAGAAGCAACAGGTACAGAAAAGAGTATTTGGGGAGGCTGTTTTAATGGGTGGGGTTGGTTCAGTTTAACAGCCATGTATTTCATTAGTTTCCAGCTCTGTGAATGCAGTCTAACAATAAGAGCAGGACTCCCTTCTTCTTTGCAGGACAGTGATTATGTTGCTGGTTGTTTCCCTGTCTCGGTGTCATGTGTGGCCCCATTTAGGCTACACCTTGAAGTTATTATGGGGGAAAAGGAAGAAAACTCACATGAACTTTCAGCTTCTGGACAGAGTTACATGGGCTGGTTGGTAGCTGGGAAACTTTCAGTTGGTAGAAGAGCAGTTTTTATTATGGATCCTAAATGTAACATAAGTAGGTAAGCTTTTTTGCATCTGTGACTATCTTGTAAGGAAGAGAGCGCTAGACTTCTGGGGAGTGCCACATAAAGAATGTGGCAGAACAGAAATTCCAGAAATTAACTCAAGTGATCTCTCTCTTTTTAATATTAGGGGGAAAAAAAAAAAAGAGCATCTGAATGTCTCTGAATGCCTCTGAGTTCTCCAATCAAAGTGAAGGAAGAACTAGTTTAAGGAAACTATTATAGCAGGACATTATAGAGATGTTACTCTCAATGTTGCTAGTTGGTAGCTGCAGCAAGCATTCAGTAAAGTCCATTTTCATAGGAGAGTTGGTACCGGAAACCTCATTTTCCATGAACCATTTGGAAGTACGGACTGTCAAAGCCACACTTTGTGCAGTGACCTGAATCTAAATATTATAAGGGGCCCAGGCATAAGCTAAGTGTTACTGTAACGTCTCAGCAACTCCTGGGCCCACATCTTCATAAATATTTGAAAGCTGAGCCCATATTGTTCTTATTGGTTGGTTCTACAGAGAACATGCAGTTGTTTCTATATTCATGGGAAATCTAAGTAAACTTACCTAAGGCCAGTGTCCCCTGTGAGCTTGGCAGGATTCTACAGTGTATTTGCTTTCTGGTCCTGCAGATCTAATCCACTCTTAATTTAAATTCTTTGCACGGATATGTAAGTCATATTTGCCCATAAGAAAGGAATTTATTTTTATCTTCTGATGGCAGTTTTTTGTGATTTCCAGCCTTTTTCATTTTGTGGCCTGAAACATGTTTTTTACTGATCTCATTCACTGTAGAAGCAAATATAATGCTACAGTCAGCAGACCTGCTTTTCCAAAGTATTATCTGTGCCCTCTGTTAAAGTAGTTCATTATTCCTCCTCTCCCTTCCTTGCTTCTCCTTCCTCCCTCGGTTTCTACATTCGTGTGTCTCGTGAATCAGTTTCTATAAACAAAAACATTTTGGGGCCCACCCCTACTGAGGAGCAGTGTTACACAGTTAATACGTTTCCTTTACATCCTATCATTGTTTGTGAGTCAATGAAGAATATTACTGCTATTCAAAACTTTTATCTTTGTGGATTACATCCTGCAGAGCAGAGGGTGCTGTTACGTTTTTGGGAAACAGCAAGTTCCAGGCATTATTGCATGTAATCCTAGAAAATACAAGATTTTTTTAAGAGAGCATACACCCCTCCTCGTCCCAAAAAAACCACTAGTGGTTCAAGGCAGGAAGTGGTCGTGTTGAGTATGAAGGATGTTTTGATCTTCTGTGTCTTCAGGGTAGTAAATATGATGCTACTTTTTATAGGAATCAGTTTGATGTTTGAAATTGGCACCATGTTCATCAATACATGTAGAGTTGTCATTAGTTAAGAGACGTGAAAGGAGCAGAACCTGCTCATCGTGGTAGATGGATCGCATTGCTGTTTCCTGGCAAATAACCTTGAAGCTTTTAAAACATATTATTTTATTCCTGTTTTCACCAGGAAGGTGTTTAGGGCGGTTACCAAGGGAGAAGCTGCAGATCCAGGAGATGAAGCCGGAGGGCCGGCAGCCTGGGAAGCGGAACGGCGCAGCCTGCGCAGTGGCAGCTCCACGCCGAGCCCGCAGAGGTGAGCGCCAGGAACGTGCGGAGAGAGCTCGGCCGGGGGCTGGCCTCGGGGGCCCTGCCCTCAGGTGCGCTGTGTCTCTGAGAGCTCAGCTGTGGCAACCCGAGAAGCAGAACTCGTGTTGAAAAACAAAACAGAAGATCTCTTCTTCTTCTCTGTCCCAGACCCCTGTTCTCTGCTTTGGTGGTGATTGCTCTGGGTTTTGTTGTCCTTTATTTCTAGAACCTTGATTTCTAGAGTGTGTCTTTGGTAATGACAAGTTAATTGGTTAAAATATATATTTCTTTTTTCAAAGACTGCTCTTCCCACAATTACTGCCCCCGTTATTTGTGATACTTATTTCTGGTTCCGTGATTACATTGATCGTCCTTCTGGGCTTGGGAGAGCTCAGTCCTTGCCGCTGTGGCCACATTATAAAATGACACAGGCAACGTTCCTTTCATGACTCACTGCCAAATGAGGCCCAAAAGAGCTTACTTCTGTTCACTGGATTAGCTATGCTGGATGTAAATGTGCTTCCTTTGCTGAGGTGCAAACAACCTAGAAATCTTGCAATCTCTAGTGAAAAATAATGCCATTTTTCTCTAAGGTCCAGTAGAAATTTCCATTTTCTAATGAGTGTTCTTGAGAGATTCTGAATAGGTCTGCAGAACAAGAAGGTCTGCACTGGGTCACTTCAGTATCTCCTGACAAGTTCATCTCAAAGGGCGTCAGTGATGTCGGGTAAAAGGAACATCGTGAAGTTTAATTTGCCCACATTTTATCCTTTTTATTCAAGCAGAAGTGTGTTTCCCTTTGTGTTTTTGAGCTGTGGACGGCAGTCTCTGGTTGTTCTGCAGCGTGCCTAACATGGATGGCAGCAGTTTTCCTGAAAGTTGCTGGTTTATGTTTACTTCTTCTGAACTGGCTGCTGCAGGACTTCCAGGCCAGCCCAGCTTTAGAAATCTGTATGCTTTAGTCTGCATGGTTCACTAGGCTTCCTTTAGGTAGGTAGCCCTCCTGTGTCTAACCAGATTCACATGTGATTATTATGAGAGCAGGAGTGATTTTTTTTTTCCTTTTCTCTGGATTTGTTTTGCTTTGCTTTGTTTTCAGCTTTGTTTTTAACTGAACAGAGCAGAATTGAGTGAAAGCTCCAGGAGAGAGAAGCTTGGCGATCCAGTGTGGGTGCTTTGCACGACTTTGCACAGTCTTAAGCAACTTTCTGCAGTACTTGAACACTGCAAGGACAAAAGGGTACTTACTGTGAGAAGTCTGTACAGCAGGTTTCATGTGCCAAAGACTGCAAGAAAATTATTGGGCAATTCATAAATGAAGTGGAACAAGTGTGCTGGCATTAGCCACCTGATGAGCGCTGTCTGCAGGCTTAGATGGATGACTAGGAAGTAAGATGTAACCTTTAAAAATAGCTGTTGTGTTCAGTGGCCTTGCTGGATTTTCACATAAGGCATCAATTTTGAGCTCTTGCCTAGAGCCAGTGTGCAGGATTTATTAGATTAAGGGTGTTGAGTCATTATGGCAATTTCTGTCTCTACCATCATCACGGCCTGACCAAAGCAGCGGCCGGGCTCAAAGTGCCGGCGGCAGAACTGGCTTGCCAGGAGATGCTCTTAGTGGGGGCCTGGGCCACTGTCCTGCCCACAGAAGATGTGGCCCTTCCATGGTATTAGTGTGGAAGGATTGAGGAGCAGCTTCGTTTTTTCACTGGAGGGGTGAAATTCCAGTCTTGAACATGTATGGTTAAATACTTGATTAAATCAGGCATCCTCAAATATATGATTAATCTATGGTGATTTAAAAGAACTAAGTAGTAATTATTAAAAATAACAGCAAAGCTTCCCACAGCACACACCATGATTGTTTTGAGTTTCAAATTAAAATAATTTAACAAACAACTTGTGACACTGCAGCTCTCCTAGATATTCCTGAATATTTCTGATTTTTGGAATTGCCTTTACTTTTCCAGGAGTGTTGCTAAAGCTGATAGTATTTCACCTGCCACCAGGGAAAATTTTCCTTCCTACTAAATATCTTGGTTTAAACAAAGCTGTACAGAGCTGAAAACAGAGGTGCCCAGGCCATGAGTCCCATCTCTTCAGGTGGTTTATTTCTCCTTGAGCAGAAGCGTTCACTTGTTTTGCAGCTGCACGCCCTGGGAGGTTGCCTCAGGGTGCTGCCAGGAGCAATAGCACTGCCACACTCTTCCGGAGAGGCCTGCTGCCCCATCACGCAGCGGTCCTCTCTGCCGTATGGAAATGCCTCACTTAGTCACCTTAAAGACTATATTTTTCTTCGATGTCTGTGTGATGTATGTGTATAAAATGAGCCACTCCTTTTTCGATAGCCAATTGAAACAAAAGTCAAAAGACTTGGAGAAGTCTCTGCAGCAGGTTTCATGTGCAGGGATTCAGTCTGCCTTGACCACTCCTGCAGGCAGGACCCCACGCAGCAGGTTTTCAAGGTTTTCAACCCTTTTTTTTTTTCCCAGCCCACTTGATTACTTCTAAACCCTTGCTTTATTGATTAACATTGGTTCATGCGGTGAGGAAAGGAACTGTAACAGCAGCTTTCAAAACAGAAAGTTGCCACGCTCTCTGTTGCAAGTGTTTTGACACGCAGTAAAATGCAGGTTTGGAGCGTTTGGGCTGCTTGCTCTACAATAGCACATTTGGAAATTGAGGTGTGTGCATCTAAATTTAAGAGCTTTGGTAAAATACAGATGATTGCTAGCCTGATAGGACTAAAATTCAACCAAGAAAAGCATCACTTTTTCATGCTTTACTGGTCACTAGTTCATCGGGTTAAGAGGTAGCAGTGTGTGTATGTGAAGTGCGTGTGCATGAGAGTGTGTTTATTATACACTGTCTACTATAACAAAAATAGAAATTGGATAGATGTGGTTGAAAAGTACGTGGGCACCCATTGATAGACAAAAAGGTTACACAGCACTTGTAATCACTGGAGGTATCTGGGGCCTTCCTCCGATTCCTTATTTTGGATCACCTGCTGACATGGGTTCAGGGTCTGTGACCACTGCTTGATTTGGTAGCAAGACAAGAGCTGCTGTATTAAAGAATATATTTTTTTCTCAGTTCAACAGTACTTCTTAGAGAAATTTCCTTTGTGGTAGAAAAGATTTTTGCTGCAGTTACTCAGAATACGATGCGGCTAAACTGAGAAAAGGTGAAATTAAGATGTTGTCTAGCAGAGTGAAGATTCCTTCAGATCTGAAATATTGATTAAGCAAGCCTACTTTAGCTGAAAATGGCCTCTTAGTTCCGAAGCATTTTTCCAGCACATTTTCTGTATTACTATCCTAGAATAGTATCTCATTATGGAAGAAGAGCTTCTTTCCTGTGAGGGTGCCAGAGCCCTGGCACAGGCTGCCCAGGGAGGCTGTGGAGTCTCCTTCTCTGGAGATCTTCCCAACCCGCCTGGATGCCGCCCTGTGCCCCGTGCTCTGGCTGTCCCTGCTGGAGCAGGGGGTTGGATGATCTCTAGGTGTCCCTTCCAACCTCAGCCACTCTGTGATTCTGTGAAGAAGCTGCAGTTCCACTCTTATTCACCAGTAATTGTTATTGTCCTGCAGGCATGTTTGAGATTTTTGCCAAATTAAAAAGAAAAATATTTATAAACTGATAATTGTAGAAAAAGAGAAATGAGTGAATTAGCCAAGAAGTTGCATTTTGTTTTAAAGTATATTATAGTGGGCTTTCACCTTTTTTTACTGCAAATCAAATTTCAAATGGAAATAAAACTTTAAGCTGAAATGCTTAGATGATCCACGGTTCTGGCAGAAGTGCTGGAAGGAGAAATACCTGTGTAAGCAATTGCAGTTTGCCTTTAGCTTTTCTTCCCAGATGACCATTTTCTTGCAGCGGATCAATCTGTGCGCACAGAGCGCAACGTTCCTGCAGTGAGACCCCCACCCCGGCTGCTGCAGCGATTCTCTAACGCTCTCTTGCCCTCTCTAACGCTCTCTAACGCTCTCTCGTCCTCCGCAGGGGGAGCGCCCTCGCCCTGGACAGCAGCGACACGGAGGCTGGTGCCGGCCGCCGGGAAGGAGCTGCGGGCCCCGCGGGCGGAAGCCGCCTCTCCCCTGCAGCCCTGGCCGGGGCTGCGGCGCTGGGCGCATGCGGCACCACCACAGAGGACACCGGGGTAAATGCAGGGAGTTCTGGAGAGCTGGGCTCCCTGCGCTGGCACGGGAGACTCCGAACGAGGTGGCTTGGCCAGGATCTGCCCTGGTGCATCCTGCTGTAGCCCAAGAAGGACAAGGCTGCCAAATGAGAGTTTGGGTTTTTTCCTCAGTTCTTATGGGACTAATGAGAATCTGTTATGTTCTGTTTATGGTGTGATCTTTAGCTTGGCAAATACTTTCCTTGCACCTGAGAGTTCCTTTGCATGTTCAGCATTACATTGTCAGTTGTAGGTTCTGAAAGTGGGAAGCTCAAGGAATAGGAGTAAGCATTTCTGGCACTTGAAGGATTAGAAAAGCTTTTTGAAATAAGGACCTGACTTTCCAGCATCTGTGGGGTCCAGCCTCAGTTCCCGCTGGATTCAAAGGGGAGTTTTGTAAAATACCAAGTCCTGATGATTTTATCCCATTCAGCATTTGGACACTAAACTGTGCATGAATTATGGCATAACACAAAATGTGGACTAGATGCTGTATCGGAGTGAATGTTGGGACTCCTCTAACCAGCTCTTAGGGCTGGGTAGCTTGACATGTAGATGGCCTCCTTTGCAGCAGCAGCCCTTGGTTGCTTTCCTAGCCAAGAGGGACTTGTCTCACCTCAGCCAGATGCAGCCCCTCTTTGCCTTGCTGGACAGACAGCCTTTTTCTTGGGCATCCACCCCTGGCTGCTGCTCCTGAATTCCTTTTGGTGACCCTTCTAGCACATCGAGAACCTCCTGTAGAGTTATCCTAAGTTTTCATGATCCAAGTGCACGAGGAAATTTATATTAAGAGATAATACCTAATTAATGTTTGATGAGCATTTGAGCTGAGAGTCTTGATGAAAGGACACATCATTTGTTTCCTATTTTCAACTAATATATTGTCTTTCCGAAGAAAAACGTGAGTATATATGTGAGCCAGTTTCGGGAGCTGTAAAAAAATCAAAGCTTGTTTTATTTACATCCTATATGTGTTTGCTGGCACACAGGCTAACTAGAGTAAGTGCATTATATTTGTTTAAAAATGACCGGTGCATTTAATTTAGAAGAAGATACTTTGTCAGCAATTCCTTTACATGAAGGTGAGTAGATGTAATGATATTAAACACATTGGCATTATTAGATGAGTTACACTGGCATCATTTAATGAGTTCAAGCCCTAGGGTTTAGGGTTCAGCCCTAGCAGAAATCTTTATGCTGGTATAAAAATAAAGGAGTTTCTTTTTTTCTGAACTGCCACGCTAAGTGAACACTGAGTAGATTTGAGTGATTTGTTTCCTCCTGTCATTCCGGGGGTTCTGCTCTGATTCCTCAGCTGCAAGCTCAGTATGTATGCAGCAGTTGTGTCGTCATGCAAATTTTGTGTGTGTGCTGTGCAGATTGGATTATATTGTAAATATATTTAATAATCAGTGGAGTGCTAAAGGAGCTTTGGATATGCAGGAATTAATAGAAATGTTGTGTTGTAGCCTGATAGATTTTTTTTTTTTAATGTTTATTTATATTTTTCCTACTGAGCAGGTCACTGGCTTAGAAAATGGCATCATTTTTCCTGCAAGTGAAAGTGTACCTGAAGATTTAGTAAAAAAGCACTGTAGGAAATCATCTGGAACACCTTCCATTGCAGTTTCTAGGGTATCTTTGTCATCAGGCAAGTATCAAGGCTTTAACCTCTTTTTGTCAGCTCCACATCAAAGAATTAATGCTACTCTTGTGACTCTGCACTTCCTGTTCATAATGAACATTGAAAGAGTGGATCTAGATTTCACATATTTGTTTCTGTTAACTCTGAAAGTTCTCCCCTCTTGTTGAACAATAAATTTCACATACAAAAAAATGGTCATCATACCCTCCGTAATGTTCGTGCCGTTCATGCTTTTCGTACGTGATGCACTGTGGATTGGCAGGTTGGCCTCCTTTCATCAGAAACTGTAAAGTAAAGGCTTGCTTAGGAAGGTAATCTCAGAGACACCTTACAGCAGTGGGTGAAGATCGCCCTCCTCTTCCTGTTTGAACTAGGAGGCAGGATCCCCCTGTCCGCTGCTTTTCTGCCACTCAACCTGCTTTTTACCGGCCTAACAGGGTGGGTTCAGCTTTACAGGTAGGTCTCTGAAGTGCAGTGGGACTCTGTGTCTTTCATTTCAATTTAGCCTGTGGCAGAAGCCTGTGGATATTGCACAGAATTAATCAGTGGAGATATGTTTAGAAAAGCCTATTTCTGTTACCCCATAATATGAAAGTTTCTTTAGAATTTAAGAAGTGGTCTCAGGTCACCAGAGGAGATGGATGAAGAGCAGAATAAGAGGCAACCTGGGAGCAGGCCTCAGTCAGAGTCCTTGTCTCCTGTTGTTGGGAGAGCTCAAAGGCCCTTTGAAGAAGAGCAGTTAAAACTTTCCAGACTCTGACTGCAGGTTGTAGATGTATTCTCTCCATCCACTTCCTTCTATGATTTATTGGTACCAGCGGCACAGAATATTTTTATGAGGAGAACTAAGAAAATCTTTCCTCAAGACATTTCTTCGCTTCTCCATCCTGCCCCGGAAACCCCAGTGGCAGCAGGAATACTTTCTCTGTCCATAATTGCTTAATTCTGAAACAGGCATTCATTAGGGCAGTTTAGTAATGCTTTGGCTATGCCTATGAATACTGTTGCTGTAGGTTTTGCAGCGTGACAGGCTGATAGGCTTGCCAGAGAAAGTCACAAGCTTGATCAATAGTGTGAGCCACAGGGAACAGAATTGCAGCAAAAAAATGCAGGAAAAAGCATTGGCCAGTAGGTTGAACAGCGTCCTAGAATGTGCTCTCCCATTTTTCATCTTGGTGTTCAGTAGTTGCAAATTGTGTGACAGAAAATATTGCAGAAAAGTTTGTTGTTGTTGTATTTTTGTTTAAAAATGTTGCTTTTGAACCAACCCTTATTAAAAAGTGTCAAAATAGTTTTTTTTAATTTTATCTGTTTTTACAGACAAATTGTAATGAACATTTTCATTATTTTTATTTTCCAGATCGCAGTCGATCTGAGATAGATTTGAGTGAATCTTTCTCTGAAGGAAATGAGGATGCTCTGAGCATAAGGAGCAAATCTGTACCTAGTGCCTTAGATCAAGACTTGGTGAGTCAGAAATACAGAAATGTTCTTCTGGTGGAAATTTCGTTTGTTCAGCCGTACAAAATCAGCTCTATGTATATATATGTATGTAATACACAATATAGTTGAAAAGTAGATATATAAATATAAAAGCATATTTATATAGAACAAATATCCCCCTAATTATATTCATTTTTTATATTTATATCAGTTTTGAAACAGCTTCATCTTCCAAGTAGGATGGATGTAGAGTGATTCCAGTGAATAGTCACAGTTAGTTTCTTATTTATTTAGTTTACAAGTGAATCAAATCAGGCTTGAAAGTAATGCTCAGGCTCTATGTTATATGTGCTTCAAAGTTCCGTTAATTCATATTTCTGTAGATCTTAATGTTGGTGTTGAAAAATACTGTACTTTTTTCTGTTTTTCCTGTATACTTTTTGTCATATGAAGCCCCAGTTTTCTTTTCCATGGAATATACCCTTCTGACAAGAGCAGATATGAGAGAAAAAGTGGAAATCTGGAAAAAAACACTGTTGCCACAGAGGACTATGTTTTTGGTTTTGTGTTTTTTAGCTACACACTTGTATTTTGAGGCTTTAAAATAAACTATAATTTGATGAATAAAAGTTCTAATAATATTTTCCCCCCTTATGCATCTTTAGGAGTCACCATCCTTTCCTTGGGCTGTGAGCACTCAGGGAGTGCTATGTGCTTTTCTGTGCTATTCTGAAGCAGTGCTATGTTTGAATTACTTTTTAAAGAAATAAAAAAGCCTTTCTTGTGTGTTGGATTAACCTGAGTTCATGCTGAAGAGAGACTTAAAGATTTTTTTTCAATTCTAGCAAAGAAAAAAGATATATTCTTGATTAATAAGTTTAAAAGAGTGCAGAAGAAAGCATAAAAGAAGAAAATACAAAGTTGAAATATCTCACATCAGTGCCCTTTGCTAATGGTACAGGGTGACCTAGTTGTTCTTAGGGATTCCTCTGAGGCAGCTGCCAGATACACCAAGTCCAGAATGTTTTTCTGCTCTTCCTCATTATTTAGAATTCTTCTGTTTTTTGCTTACTCAAAATAAATTTTTTTGCTGATTCAAACTGTATTTTGTTGGATCTCAGCAATTCTTCAGCTTCTTTGCTAATTTAGGGGACCTCTCTTGAGTTATAACCTTAATTTAGTTGCTCTGGGACCTGTGAGAATGCTAATTCCTCTTTAAGCTTTCTCTGGAAAAGGCTTTATAAAGCCCTTATTCTACCCATGTTTCTTGCTCCCTTAGGAAATTAGCAGAATTGCATTTATCAGCTGTAGGGTTACCGTGTTTTTTAGGGTAGCTGGAGTCGCAGGACTCTTGCAGAGGTTGCCTTAGGCTCACTATGGGTGCAGGTGTCCATGATGGAGATAGTGTTGCTGGACTTGAGCTGCTTCGGTGCTTGGAACAGCAGGCAAAAAGAAGGATGTCTAACGAAAATAACAGGAGCTCCTTCAGCCTGAGAAATGTGGTGGAACCTCCTGCAGGCCCAGCAGGCTGGGGGGCCCTTTCGTCTCCTCCTCCTGGGTGATGGAAGCTCCTGGCCGTGGGGTGGGAGATGTCAAGTGCAGATGGGATAAATGAGTAGCCGAAAATTGTCACGGGAAAGGTGGGAAAAGGCTTGTAGCTGCTCTGCTCCCAGCTTTGTCAGGGAAGCACTTTACACAAATGGGAAGGTGAGCTGGGTAATGTGATGAATATTTTCCTTGTCTAACTTGCGTTACTTTTGGTAGTGAAATCTGCCCCCCTCTGCAAATCTGCACACCGTGGAAGTATTTATCAAGGACTATTGGTAACCAGTTCAATCTGTGTTGTGTTCCAGTGTGAACACCTTCCCTAGAAAGATTTATATTGAATTCCTGACCAAAAAGTGTTCATCACATACTCGGTAGCTTTGTTAGCAGTAACTGGGTAATGTGCATTTTATAGCCCCCACTGGAGACCCTGAGATTCACATCCTACCAGTTCTAACTTTAATAAGCAGCACGAGCCAGTTAGGTAGCTGCAGTTCTCTACCACCTCCTGAGAGCTGTAATCAGTGTTGTGTAAAACAAATTAGGAGGTTAAATGTTAGCCATGGCTTTAGTTTTTTATATCTGCTTGCAGATAAGAACTGGTCATCACCTGTCCTTAGAATTCTCTGTGAAGCCCTGTTAGTATTTGACTATCTAAACCAGAAACACTGTGATTTGCAGATAATACCTTTCTTTTTTGTCCTGTGTTTATTTCCTCAGAGACCGAAATCTATCATTGTTTATTTTAAAGACAATGCCTGTGTATATAATAGTGTAAAGGAAAGAATTTGGGCTGGATTAACAGAATTCTTCAGTTAAAGTGTTGTATGTTCTCCTCTTGTTTTGGGCGTGTGAAAGATGTAAATCAAAATTTCTCTAGAGATGCAGATTTGACTGCACCCTGCCGAGTCTGCCTTAAAGAGAAAATAATGGAACAAAACTTGGTGTCAGTTGCTGGCCAACCACAGAACACTGTTCTGTGACTAAAATGACTATTTCTTTTCTTACTGAGGATTACCTGGCTGAGACTGAAGAGGATATTGATGACATAGAGGCCTCTCGTTACTCAAGGAAACATGGACATATGACAAGTGGGTTATCAACGGTAAGGCCCTTGATCAGAAATAGGTGCTTTTCCTTCCACGTAAGCCAGTTCCTTCTCCGAAATGGATTTAATATATTCCGTGTGCAGCCTTGTTGTCAGTAGTTCTCCAAAGCATTTAAAAAAAAGACTTTATCTGTTTGTCTCTTTAGAAAAAGCCTTTCCCCTACTGTTAGTTTTTCTAGTTTGTTTGTCTAGATAGATCGTTGTGTCTTTAATGCTAGACAAAACAATTCTCTGTGCTGAAAGGAGAAGACATTTTACAGCAGGTTTCCCCATGCACTAAGGTTCTACCGGCTAGGTCTGTGGAAAGGGCAAGCAAAGCCATAAAGCTTTGCAGTCCATGACTGCTTGGCTTTGCAGAGGTGTTGTTGATGTGGTTGGAGCAAAGAGAAAAGAATGTGATGGGATCTCCCATCTCATTCCACCTATTTGAGTATTGGGAGTGGGTAGTGTCCATGGTAAAACCCGGACTCTTTTTTCATGCACTGGGGACACAAGTGCTCTCTGTGTGTTCGTGATTCCCCTTCTGTGGAATCGTTGTCCATGCCCCAGCCCAAGTTCACCCATTCCCCATGAAGTGACACATAATATCCAGCCTTCCACAGTTCATTATGCTATACGGTTGTTCACTGGGAAAGAAAATACTGATAAAATAGTGCTAAAAAAGCCTGTGACATGGTCTGGTTTATGAGTGCCAGCTGAGTTCCTCATTGTGGGAATGACAGCCGGGATGGGAGCAATTCAGAGCCTGTTTTGACCACTCCTTGTTTTGCCTTGGGATGAGAGTAGCTCTGGTCGGCACCTGGAGTACCTGTAAACTGCAGCACCTTCTAAGAGTTGAAGAAAATGAAGAAAGCTGAGGCGTGTTTATGCTGAATGGGGAGAGGTATTTTGGTCTATGACCCTAGTAGTTGTACTGTTTTCTTTACTACCTCTCCATTAGTACCTATACAGGGCCCAGAGAATGACCACTGAAGTTCTAATTCCAAAGAGCCCAATGTGTTGACCAGAGCTTGGTTGCTTGGGGAGGAGAAGGGGCTGAGAAAATTGCTCTTCCGGAGCATTTTGGTGTCTGTGTCTCGATGGTTCCCCTCATAATTTGTGTAATTCCCCCCCCAAAAAATAAAAATAAAAATAAAAAAGATACAACAGAGATGTATGGCACTTCACACCACATCAGACCTGAGCAAATGTAGTTTGCTTGACTTAGCTTTAATTATACCCACTTACCTGAGTAGTTGAGTATGACTGGGGACTCCATCCCTTGCTTGGTCCCGTGAATTTTGTAGGCAGAATTGAATATTGCCCTCTGAATAGGGATGAGAGGTGCAGGTGTTGAAGTGCTTTTGCTGTTTAGCCCATTGATCAAGGACTTACATTTCAAGAAATGAGCCTTTTCAAATGCTCTAGACAATAATCTTCCTGTGCTGTCTGTACTGGTTCTACCTTCTAATACAGATCTTTTCCCTTTGGGCTTTCTCTTAAGCAGAGTCCTGCTTTTCTGCTGCTGTAGGTCTGAGATAATCTCACATCTCAGTGCTCTTGTTTTTGTATCCATCCTGACGTGTTTTTTAATGTCATGGATGATACCTTAGTGAGGAAGCTCCTCCTATTTTTGCTTTTACCCTTCTTGCTCTGAACATCTGAGCCTTCTGCCTTGGACAGGTTCTTTTCATAGTTTCCTTGTGCATGAAATCCCTGTGTACTCTTAGGTCACACTATGAAATAATGTTATTGATGAAGAATAGGTGCTAAAGGAAATATTTTTCAGCAAGTATGAGGGTTTACATTACAGAGTGGGTCTTTGGAGCAGAATGAGCACGTAAGGTAACAGAGCAAATATTTCAGCAGTTAAAGATACTTGAAAACTGCTGGAGTTTATATGACAAAAAAATGACAAGTGACATTGGACACTGTCTTAGCATGAGGATGTTTGTCTCTGATTTCTGAAGCTAATAGCTGAACTGGGTATTTAGCTTTATCTTCAGCCTTGATTGATTCCTCTCCTAAACACCGTAATATATTAATATTAATTATTAATATTAATTAATATTATACATTGTCAAGACTCATGCCGTCAAAAAGACTGAATTGTACCAGTGCCATAGTCTCTATGTTGATGTAACTTTGTGGGTTTCTGAGGTTGCCATATAAATTATTTTTGTGTTGAAAGGATAGCTAATGCATTTTACACCACGTACTGGACCATTCAATTCCCTAACATTGTGTAAAAGCACCTTTTTGACGTATACTATGGGTGGAAAATCGTAAATTCAATTTAACTTATGTCAGGAGTAGATGCAGCTGGAACAGGTTTGTCCATGTGTGTTGCTGACTGCCCCGAGATGTGACCCAGCCCTGCCCATGGCAGCTCAGGCAGCCCTGTAGTTGTGGATGGCAGTGTAAGCAGAGGCTGTTTGCTCCTTACCCCCTTCCCAGGACAGTTACAGAGAAGCCCAGTTGGAACACAGCTTTGCTAAAGTGCAAACAAACCCCATTTTCCTTTCGGTATTCCTACATGAGGTATAAAATTAACTTTTGGGATAATTTCTTTTTTTAAAAGACGTGGTGTTCTCTTATGCTTTACTGCTGTATTTTTTCCCCACAGTTAGCATATTTAAACATCTAATTTTTTTGCGTGTACCATTGCAAATACCTGAGCTGTAGAAACTGAATTTTCTTGCAAAGGCCCAATGGTGCAAATACATAACGAGTCAGCTTTCGACTAGCTCAAGCGAGAACTGACATCATGCAAGCATGAAGGAGGACACATCCAAATGCAATCCAATATAATCTACTCCTCCTGAGTCATTGTTTTACAGTTTAATTTGCTTATTTTGTACAGCAGATAGTTCAGCTCTTTTTAATTACTTTCAAACAACTACCCTACAATACCTGAGGTATATAGAAGGAATTAAGATTTCTTTCATATGGTGATGCCGTTTTTGTTCTCCCTGTGGCTTTGCAAGCAAAGTTTCTTTACCTGTCTATGTGAGTAAAGCTTTATCACTGCTCCTATTGATTCTTATTTCAGCTCTCTAATGCTCTTCTCTCTTGACCTTTTGCACTGCTGCCATTAAAGAACTTCCCAGAAGGTTCTGATAGAAAATGGAGCTACTTAAATGTGCCTGAAGCAGATGCTGACACTGTGAGTGTCACGTACTTTTGTGGTTCCCCTGGTTCTTTGAAGACTGTATCTGTGTGTTTTACAAAGATTATACATGTCCTTATAGACTTTAAAGTCCTTACATATTTTTTCTCATGGCTCTACCTGCAGTCATTTTATGACATGCTGTAAAAATTAGGGAGGCAGCTGAGCCAGAGGGGGGACAGGATTAGCTCCTTGGAACTTGTCATGCGAGTTTAAAATTTATATAGCCCATCTGTTTTATAATTTATACATTAATTTAATACTTGGGATTTAGATTTAACCATCTCTACAAGTAAGTTTGAGTCCTAGATGTAAAAAAACAAAACTACACTCTAGATGTTTAAACTATGATTAAGTATATTTTTAATTCCTTCTTACATCAAACGGAAGCAATTTGATTTCTATTCTTTGATGCATCTGTTTTCATAGGAAGTCCTAACAAGTGTTAGAGTATTGCAGGACTGCAGCTGCCTGAAAAAGCAGATTTAAGAAAAGAAGAATGTGTTTAAGCTCCTAAGTCCCTTTCTCCTCCCGCTGCAGACCAGCATCAACAGCCTGCTGAGCGTGTACAGCGAAGCGGGTGACTATGGCAATGTGAAGGTCAGCGGGGAAATCCTCCTGCACATCAGCTACAGCTACAAAACGGGGGCGCTCAGCATCCTGGTGAAAAGTTGCAGGAACTTGGCTGTGGCAGATGAGAAGAAGCAAAGGACAGATCCGTAAGCACCGGGACACGTTCATTTCCTTCTGGTCTCTGCTGAGGGTGTCGCTCTCTGCTGTGTGGCAGAGCTGCCTGTGGGGCAGCAGGGACAGAGGCTGCTGCTCTGCTGCCAAGCCTGAGATCAAGCTGCTGCAGGCCAGCGTTTTGGGGGGGTTATTTTGGGGAGGGTTACGGGAAATTAATTCTCAGTATGTTTCTTAGGGCAACATTGAGGGAAGCTATAAAGTTACTTAGATGACAACACTGGCAATTTTTGTAAAACGGTGAAAAATATAAATGAGCAGGAAGACTGAATTACTGTGTTGCTTCTAGAAAAAAAAATGAAGTAAGATATTAACTCATATGATGCTTTGGGTGAGAGAGAGAGATTGTTGTGCAGTTCCATGCATCCATAGCACCACTTTACAAACATCCTTAAAACATGTAAATTCCCTCACATATCAAGAAGTAATAACATATGTCACTACTAATAAATACATAATGTATCAGTTTTTTATTCTCTTACATTTTCATTGTATATGTTGGCATATATATCCATGCAATAATTAAATACCAGAGATGGTGTTAGGAAAGCTTTTCACATTTCTGAGGATGAGTATCTGCCCTTCACTTATTTTGGTCCTAACAGCATAATATGACTGTGTGTTTGCAGGTAAAGACGATGCCTCTTTGCCTCTTTCTCACAATTTCTGTTATAAGTGTCTATGAGTTCATTTGCCAGATTTAATTTCCTCATTTATATTTCTGGTGCAGCACTGGCAGGTCCTAGTTCCAATTGGCTTCTTTTATTCCCTACTAATAACTTGTTTCTTGATCTGCAGCTACGTCAAGGCCTACCTTTTGCCGGATAAGTCCCGCCAGAGTAAACGCAAGACCAAAATTAAAAGCAACAGCACCAATCCGGAGTTCAATGAGACGCTCAAGGTGAGAACAGAGCCTCTCTCATAAGCTGGGATGAATGACCTGCTTATAGGACACTTATAGACATTCTCCAGCAGTGTTCCAGGATGGGGATGAGAGTTTGGAAAAGACACCTCAAAAGGAAAATGTTTAAGCAAAAATGTGTAGTAGACCTAGAAGCTGTAACTTCTGCCTTTCAGCACTGAGGGCACATCTTTCTTTGCGTCTTTATAGGTAAAACTTCTGGTTTCCATAGAGCTCTTCTAGAACTGTTGACATTCCCATTTAACCTAAAGCCAGAGCTATTGAAAAACACCTTAAAGACTAGTCAAGCCTTGGCTCTAAGTTACCAAATGATGCTGAAGTAGAACTGGCGTAGAACTTCCCATCTAAGTAATTTTTAAGAGGAAATACCCTTTTGCAGTAAAGTGTGAATTTCTCTCAGGATAAATTTTTTGGCTTTTTTATTTTTTTTTTGTGCAGAAATGACTTTGGAAAATACTGCCTGTACTTTCACCAGCTGATGTATCTGCATTCATTTTCTGTTGTGAAAGAGAACGGTGACAGATTCCTTGTTGAGGGCTGGTGGCAAAGAGCACGCAGCCTCTTGGCTACTTTGCCTTTCCCCTGCGCCCAGCTTCCAGAGGACAGTCTATTCCCTGTTTCCCAGGATCAGCTTTTTAGCTCCGTGGCTGAGGGGTGTGGGTGGGAACGGCAGAGTTTCCGGGCACCCCCTCACTGCCTCTCTGCCTCCAGGACCTCGGGGCTGCGGGTGTTTCTGCTGCCTCTCGGTTGACAAGAATCATCCCAAGCAGCTCTTGCGAAGCCAAACCCTCTTTCTAGTTTTTCCTGAAATACTTTTTTTTTTTTAATATAATTTCAGAAATGTTGTACCAAGTTTATTATAATAAAGACTAATAGATGTTCCTTGGCCGGTGTACTTGGCCTAACCTGGCTATAAAGTAATTTTGCAGACTCGTGCACGTTTAGTATGGCCAAACTGCTTGCCAAGGTGGGGGAGCCTCTTGTATAGTCTTATTTGTAAATACTTTGCAATAAAGTTAAGACCTGTCTGAACTGGGAAAAAATGTGTTAACCTCTAATTAGCAAGCAACATACTTAACATTAAGTAAAACCATAAATGTGGGTTTTGCTTACTGCTAAAATAGATGAAAAGGACTTGTTTCAATTGAGCAACTGTCATGTTACTAGTTTTAAAAGGAGCAGTGAAAAATCTTCCCTTTCTGGCTTGTGTTCCTCTGTGGCTAAATATCACAGCTCTGTAACTTTGGGCATCTGGCATTAAGCATCTCAGACATATCTGTATGTGAACAGCCCGCTTGTGTGGAGAGCCAACTGACCGCACTGTGTCAGCTCCTGCAAGACCTGTGTCTCTGTCCAGACCTTGGTCCTGCTGCAAAGAAATAAGACATCTGGGTCTCCTCAGCTCTCACTAGCAGCAGGGTGAACTTCAAGGAACTAATGGGCCTTTTACTAAAAAGAGAGTATACAAAGCTTGAACTCCAGATGTTTATAATTTTCGGTGTGTTTGCTAGAGTAAAATGTTTCTTTGGAGGAGTGTTTAGTAACTTTGAAACTTTTTATGAATGCTTTGCAGATAGAGGATTAACAGATTTCAGAAAGTGCAGGCTAAGGTGCTATTGAAGAGAGGAGGGCACTGCTGCTGGAAAGTAGTATTCAGTAGATGCTGTTTAGGGATGAAAGGACACTTAATAGGTTTCTTGCGTATAAATTATAACAAAACTATAAAAAGCATCTTCTTGTATAGCAATAAATATCCTATGGATAATACAGGCAAGCCACAGTAATAATAACAATAGTAATAATAGCATTAATTACCAGTGGATGCAGATGGCAGAGAGAGCAGTTATAGTTAGCAGTTTCCTTGGAGCCTCTCAGCTAGAGCAATTCATGTAAAGAAAACAGACCTCTGCTTCATGCACCATTTATTAGCTGCCGTGGGCTTTGGGAAATTTAGCTAGAACTGTAAAAGGCTCCATGGAAACTATTATTTATGCTTATTCTCACAGTTCCATTTCTGTGTTTTTTTCCTTCTTGGTAGTATGTCATCAGCCACACGCAGCTCGAAACGAGGACCCTGCAGCTCTCTGTCTGGCACTATGACAGATTTGGTCGCAACAGCTTCCTCGGGGAGGTGGAAATTCCGTTTGATTCCTGGAACTTTGATAATCACGGCGATGAGTGGTTTGTGCTGCAGCCCAAGGTAAGGGTTTCCAGGGCCTGGTGGAACTGCAGGGAAGCAAATTTAATGAGGCTAAGTTATTTTTCCTTTGGAGCATGTTTATCAAATGGTAACTTTATGATTGTCTAATACTGCAGTAAAAATAATCCTCGGTCTTTATTCAGTCAAAACATACTGCTTTTAAGGGCTTCATGAAGGCTTTACCTGCAAACAGCAACTTACAAAGTACCTTCTAAATAAAATATATCTCATTACAAATTGCTGTGGAAAAATTACCTAAGAAAGAAAATGATTCTGTACATGAAACAGAGAACTTTTCTAGCACTCCCCCTGCCTGACCCCTAGAAATTTAGGGAAGAAGTAGGCCCTTTTTGTTTCATTTCTGAGTACTTGGCACTTCGGAGCTGCAGCTAGCCCTAGCCCAGCCTGAGGAGGGGCGAGGTGAGGCTGCGCAGGGGGCAGTTCAGCCGCCCGGTGGAACGGGTCTCGCCTTGCGCTGAGCTGAGCCTGTGGTGACTTCTGGCACTAGGGCACCCTCTGCTTTGCCAAGGCCAGTGTGTTCCTTTTTGGAAGCAGCCCCAGGAGCTGTGGTAAGGTTGAGGATTCAGGAATTCTGAGCTGCTGGCTGTGATAGCAGCCAGAATTCCCAGGAATGCAGTGAAGAGCGCGGGATGGTATTACGAGGGACGTACAGGTAGACTCAGATGCCTTGCTTGTTCTGCATTATGTTTAAGGGAATAGTGCTGTGTTTGGGGTTGTGGGAGGGGGTGTTTGATTTTCATCTTCTGTCTTCCCGTGGTGGATCTGATTGCAGCATCCTGACTGCAGATTGTTTCCCGCTGTGGCGCTCTGGGGCTTACTGCTAGCCCAAGCCCTCCCAGATGTGTCCCTAGGAGCCAACTTGCCAGAAGATGCACATAAGAATCGGTCCCTTCTGCAAGGCTCGCACACCTCATGTTTTGGAGGTGGCCAGAAAGGGCTTGCCCTGTTTGCCCCGTCAGCTCTGCTAGCGAGAGTGACCAGGTCTTGCCTCGTGGCCCAAAAAGGACCTGAGATACCGGGAAGAGAAAGTGGCTGAGGATGGTGAACGAGCTGAGCAGCGTGTCCAGATGAGGAGAGTGCCACGTGTCTTTCCAGCCATACAGCCCATTTCTGGAACTCCTGCCTGCTTCATAGCCAGTCGGCTGCCCTTGGCTTACCTCTTGGGGAGGCTTGGCCGCTGCGTTTCTCTAGGAGCCCTGGCGGGTGCCGCTGTTGCGTTTGCTTAGTGCTCCCCACTACTGCAGCACGTGTGGTTTTCGTTTTGCCTCTGTGTGCGTGCTGTGTGAGTGTGAAGGGGACTTGTTATCATGTGGAAATCTCAGCATCCTTGAGCCTTGCAGCCTTGAGGTGGTCGTGGGGAGGACAATAGGAGGATGGACAGATATGTATGTGCGTGTGTGTGTGTGTGTGTATGGTGGCGGGTGTTTGGTTTGGTTTTTGTTCTGATTTTTTAACTCTTGACAAAAAAAAAAAAAAAAAGAAAGAAACAGAAAAAGGAAAAAACGCCGAAAATGGTGAAGCCCCCATGCTCAGGAAAAAAGTAATGAGGTGTTGAACGTTTCAGCCATTCCAGCTGGACGGTGGAGTCTGGTTATTTCCAAATCCATTAAATGGGCTTTTAAACTCCTCCTTTTCCTCCAAGGAAAACACATAGACCAGGTCTTGTCTATGTCCTAACTTGCTACAAGTAATATTTCTAAACGGGAAGTGCTGCTACGATTGCTGGTGAGCAAAGAGAGTATGATTTCTGATTGACAAATGACTGCATTACCAGATTAAAGACGTTCACGCCAGAACCCACGCAGGGTACATGCGGTTCTCCCCTTTGAACTACTGGACACTGAAAGGAAGGTCAGTGAAACCCCACTGCAGGGTTTTGCTGCAGCTTTAGTTGCTCTCTTTGTTGAGCTGCTGTAGTGAAAAGGTTCTAAAACCTGTTTCTTTGGTGAGCATTGAATGGTCTTTTGTCCGTTCGTGTGTTTGAATCCAAGTCTTTGGTGTCTCTCAGCATTCCAGGGCTTTCTGCCTTTAATGACATTCCTGTCTGTGAGGGGTCAGGAAGATGTGTGTGTTTGCACCCAGGCCTGAGCACGGAAATGTATAGAGAAACGTGAACATGTGAGAAGTCTCACCTCCGTCAGCAGCCAGCAAAGGTCGAGGCTGGGCTTAGCTTTTCTTAGACCTGATCTATATTGTGTGTGTGTGTGTGTGTATATATATGTGTGTGTGTGTGTGTGTGCGTGTGTGTGTGTGTGTGTGTCTGTGTGTGGGGGGGATTTCTTCTCCAGGGCCTTTTATTTTTCTGGGAGAAGTCAGTGTTCACTGGTATATCGTGCTCTCTTACCTGTTGCATCTAGTGTTTTGAAAATCTAGTTTCCTACAGCATAAAGAGAAGCTCAGCCAACATAATGCAAGTCTAGTACCCTTTTCACTAGGATGTTCTGCAGAGTACTGGGTGCGCTCTTCCTGCGCAGGATGCCAGCATTTGTAAAACAAGAAGATGTGGAAATAGTGCAGCAACAGAAAAGGGGAAGGACCCTGGGAATAACATCAGTTTCCAAGAATATTTTCTAGTTCAGAGCAGGGCTCTGCCCCCTTCTTTCCCCGCTCCCCACCTGCAACTTCATTCCAAAAGTGACTCTTCTGAAATATATGAAACTGGCTAGCTAGTAAGTAGTGTTAACAAGAGCATCAGAATAATCTCAAATTAGTTACAGTTTATGTTTTCAAAATAAGCTGAAGTTTGCTTCTGTTTGGTTGCTGTGAGTTTTTCTTCACTCCTTCATGCTAGATCTCTCGTGTGTGTGCATGTGTGTGTGTATTCACCAGCCAGTGTCTAATGCCATGTGATTTTGTTCGTCTGAGATCTTGCATCTCCCCACTCAGATAACTTCCTAAAACGTGGCCAGGTTCCTTTGGGAATGTGTCATATGAAAGCGGTGTGGTGTGTCTTGATGCATTGAAGCATCTGTAACTGCTTATTGGTACAACAAAATATTTACCTCTTCCATTTCATTTTAATTATGCTTAAATGGGTTCCTGTTTTTCTGTTCATTTCTGACAGGTGGAGGTTGCAACAGATGGCGGGCTGCAGTATAAAGGAGAACTGACAGTTGTTTTACGCTACATTCCCCCAGAGAGAAACCTCATGCTTCCTCTAGGGCAGTTTCAAGGTAAAGCAAACACAAACTGTGACATCCATCTGCACATTAAAACCTCTCTCATAGGTCTAAGTGAGGATTAGAGATAGAATTAGAGAAGATTGAGAGTGTATTTAAATATATTTGTTGCCTTTATCTGTAGAAATTTCAGACTGTTTCTCCTGCTCCTTTTTCCCTTCTCTTACGTAAAACTTAGCCAGAGAGAGGTGGAGTGTGCACAGGCAAGTGTTCACACACAGCTATGCTTTAACTAAAAAAGGTTCAGATAGTCAATGCTGTGATAGAGGACAGTCACATACAAGGAGGCCTAAATCGTTATCTGTGTGATGGCTTTTCAACTAGTTACCTACAAGGTGAGGCTGATCAAAGTAGTAGACTTCCTTTAGCTTCATTGTTTTGCTTAATTGCTCCTTGTTCCCCCCTCCCCCATTTTTTCTTCATGTTGCTTTATTTCTGCTTAGCTTTGCCCTATTACTCTATAATCTAATCCTGTAAAATATTTTTTTGGGGGGAGCAGGGTATGCCATTGTTTTCATCAGCAAAATACAGGGGAAAATGAAATTACCGTTTGCTTTGTGGTGGCGACAGTAATCAGTTAACTGAGCCTCTGTCCACGGACAGCGTTGCTTTTTGGCATTGGCATTTGATAGGTGCATTTTTTGTTGTGTTCCAGCAAATTTACTTTCTAGCAATAAGTTCCAGCATATTCCCTGTTAAAAGTTAATTATTGTCTGAAAAAATCCAGATACACACCGCTTGCTTTTTTTTTTTTTTAACTAATAACACTAAGGGTCACTCCTGATGCCTTTTTGTGGTGTTTTTGTCTCTGATGAGCGCACGATCCCTGCTGTGAGGCCTCGCAGCTCCCTCAGCAGCAGCGAGCGCACGTGTCCTCGTGCTGCTCTTCGGATGCAGACACGTGTCAGGGAGCACTGTGGCCACGGAGCGGTGCATCCCTACAGAAGGAGCACCTGCCTATTCCTGTGTTTAAAGCTTTGGGATTTGCACCTCGCTTGTGGTGCAGGGCTGCCTTCACATGAATGAAAAAATGAATCCTGAAAAGAGATTGGGGTTTACAAGACACAAGTTTTTTGCATTCAGCATGGAAAGGCACAAATATCTGTATTTGAAAAGGACTTCAATCAGGGCACCCTTCTATGTTCAGCAAGGACTAGCAGTTACATGGCCAAATTCTTTATCCAACATGGAGTGATTTCCCACTTCTACCTTACTGTTTCTTCACCAGGGAAAATTGGGATCTGCTCATAATAAATACTTTAATTCCATTGAAGGAAATGAGTGAAGGAATCTAGCCAAAAGGATTTACATCTCCAAATCAGTTTTGCAGTATATCATTCCTGATGATAACATTTCTACTTCGTTTTGTGTGTAGGAAAGAAGAGCTTTAAAAAAGGAAGAAAGAGAGACTCTCACTTGCCATCTGGAGGTATATTAGAAGTCCTCATCAAAGAAGCCAAGAATTTAACAGCGGTGAAATCAGGAGGCACGTCTGACACTTTTGTGAAGGGGTCTGTGCTTTTTTTTTTTCTCTTCTTTTTTTTTCTTATCCCAACATTTTTAATGGCTGCACTGAACCATTCTTTGGGTCACCCCACTTTTTTTTTTCAGTACATTGTGTTGAGCATCGGCCCTGGGCTGCAGCTGACACCGGGAACGGTGTACTTGAAAGAGAAAATCTGTGGGGTAGCAAAAGAAAAATGAGTAGGTGTTGTCCAAGTGGCTAAATGTCACCATATCTAGACTTGGTCAGGAACTGATATGTTATTCATAACATTTATTTCATGCATCCATTTGTATTCAGTGTATCAATGTGCAGGTTATTACAGTATATTCCATTGGTGCATGAAAATGCTTCTCTTCAGTCAGTGGAGAGAAGTAGGTGGTCATCCGTCCTTCCTGAAGGCAGGAAGTGGTAAGGCAGGACTCAGGGACAGGAGATGATCTTTGATCTGACAATGACATTTACATTTCCAGGAAACTGAAACAGTATACATTCTTAACTGGGAGGAATGGCCAGACTATCTCTTGGATAAGAACCTGCTTTCAGGAAAATGCAAGTGTGTTTGGGTTCCTTGTAAAATTACAGAGAGCACCTACGAAAACTGGCACCATTTTCCTAGGGGATGTCACCTGAAGTGCGCAGAAAGAGAATATTCTTGGTGTGTGTAAGCAGTTCTGTTGTGATTCAACTGCACAGGCTAATCAAGAAAATATATCTCTCTCTTGTAGTAGAAGTAGATATTTTTCCTAACAGCTATTAGAAAAGCTCTTCAGGTGATGTCAGGGAACATACATTAAAATGCTGAGGGTTCCCCAGAAACGTATCATTGATTTTAAAAATAAATGTCATAACTGTAATTGTTAAATTTTAACCATGAGATACATTCTTTGACAGAAGATTTTTTTTTTAAATTCTGCTCTTACAGTTAGGGATTCGATTTTAAAGGTATAGCATTTTGAAAAAATTAAGCTCTCTGCCACTTGTATGTCTATATGCATGTGTATGCAAATATCCAGTGGATACAAATATCCATTTTTTATTGGACATTCAAAATGCAGTCTGTATAGAAAGCATTAGCTGCAGCATATCATTGTATTTAAGTAAAATTAACATGATTTTGTGTGCATCATTGTACTGAATTCTTCAAAAATGTAAGTTATTCATTTAAGACGCTAAATGGAGCAAACACCAGATAGTTGAAAAGGTTTTGCTAGTGCTAGCCTGTTATTGTTGATGTGGGTTATTTGGCACCGTGGAACACGGACGTGTTTCCTTTGGATTATCAGTGTCTCTCATGTCGTGGCCAAGTGCTCAGCCAGGTGCCTGAGAACCAGCTGAGGCGCGGCAGCGTCTGAGCTCACTCTGAGCTGGAGACGTTACAGCTTGCCATAGTTGATCTTGCTGTAAAAACAAATGAAGCTTTAAGAATTCGCTCATGCTTGTTGTTAAGTACAAGCATGCCCATGAGTATGGGTCAAGTGATACAGTTTATTCCTGTGGCTGACCCTTCAGTGTGCAGGTGGAACAGTATTGTTACTGCATCAGGTTTGCTGAAGAGGGTGAAGACACAGACTCTGACAATTTGTACAGTCCTCTCATTTTGAAACTGGAATGTTAAATTTTTTAGTAAAGTAAGATGTCGGAGCTTGTCAGACCCCACAGCTTTTATATTTCAGTAGGACATGAGGCAAGTCCTAGTGCTCCCTATCACATGATTCCATTTCCACTTGGGGGACTTCCTGTCATGTTCACGTTGGTGGCCGGACTAGATGACTCCAGAGGTCCCATCTGTAGGCCACATCACTTTGATTCTGTCTATATTTAGTCTCACTGAAATGAAAAGTTCGTGGCTGATACCTTAGACATGGGGAAGGTAGTGCTAAGTTCAGTTTTTGTTAGCAATACAGACATTATAAATGTAAGAAAGAAATGGAGCCAAATGCAAAATCTGTGTTTCATATAAATGTGTATTTTTGTTTTGGTGGGAAAATTGGTTCCTGATACTATTGGGCCTGAACACGGCTGGAGCTATTTGTGAATATTACACGACATCCCACTTACCATTGGTCTTTCCTTTGTCTCCCAGATACCTGCTGCCAGACGACAACAAAGCTACCAAACACAAAACTCCCATAATAAAAAAGAACGTGAATCCCCAGTGGAATCACACGTTTGCTTTTAGTGGCTTGAGTTGCCGGGATGTCCGTAACGCCTGCCTCGAGCTGACCGTGTGGGACAAGGAGTCGCTCTCCAGCAACATCTTCCTGGGAGGGGTCCGCCTGAGCACGGGGAGTGGTAAGGGCCCAGCTGGCTGAGAACTACTTTTAATTCTGCTTTCCCTCCTCTCCCAAAGCATTTATGTATGTGACGACAGAAATGTTACTAAGTGTATGCAAACTGTGGGAAACTGGAAAGGGAGGTGGAATGCAGCGTGTCCCTTGTAAGTAATATAGTTCTTTCCTCCATTGAAGGAGAGAGAAAAATCTGATACTCAGCTGTACAGCTTCCAAGTGAAGAACTCGGAGTATCCTGGAAACTTTTATGAGCATCCCAGTGAGAAGGAGAAGATTTTGCCTCAAACGGGCTTTCTGTTGCCAGTAGTGTAATTTGCAAGAGCCGTATACTCATCAGGAGAAAATCTGTGGTACAGAGACACGATGAGGATTTTTATGTGCCTCTGTCTCTGTCACAACAGAGTTTTACAGATTTTCCTTAAGAATAAATGCAGAAAAAAAGACAAGTGTTTTCAGTATGAAACCCTAGACAGGCATAAATGTATGAAATACCTTCCTAACCACTATTGGAGCAAGTCAACAGGGATATTAAGAAACTCTTTACTCACATGCCAAAATTCCCTGTGTTTTTGCAATTGCCAGGTGTGAGTAATGGCAAGGAGGTTGACTGGATGGACTCCCAAGGGGAAGAGCAGCACCTCTGGCAGAAGATGATCGACAGTCCTGGAACTCCTGTGGAGGGGATACTAATGCTGAGATCCAGCATGGGACAACGCAGACTCTGAAGGACTCTGAACTACAGAGGGGTGCCACAAGTGCTCACGTCTTCACTGGTGTCCACACTTTTGTAGCTTTGCCCATATGAAAGTGGGTCAGGGTTGCACACTTTGCCTTGGCTATTAAGGCTCCACGTGAGATTTTAATGCATTCTGCACTTTCATGCACACATTTTTCACCTTGGCTTCCGATAGAGGATTATTTTTCTCGTGAAACCAGGGAAAATTTGACCTTGCGCAGAGATGAAACTGAGCTTTCTCTCTCTGTTCTGATGAGTGGTATATGGCCAATGGATGTCCCCTTCTGTAGGGAACATGGAGTGAGCAAATTCTTATTTGACAAGTAATGCCTCTAGTATGCATCTCATTCTGGATCCAAAATGGCCTAAGTCAGAGTCAAAAGACGCAGAGTACAAGCAGATTCAGAGCAAGTCTGTGTTTTGGTATTTGGAATATGAGAAGCCACGGGGTTCTGAAGGATAACAAGTAACATGCGTTTGTTGGGCTGTGCAGTGCGTGGGTAGCTTAGCATCAAGCAGCACCCTAAAGAAGGCCAATGCACACTAGGAATAGGCAGCAGATGTAGTGGTGTAAGTTGAGGAAGAGCTTCTGCCCTGTGAGGGTGCCAGAGCCCTGGCTGCCCAGGGAGGCTGTGGAGTCTCCTTCTTTGGAGATCTTCCCAACCCGCCTGGATGCCGCCCTGTGCCCCGTGCTCTGGGTGTCCCTGCTGGAGCAGGGGGTTGGACTGGGTGATCTCTAGAGGTCCCTTCCAACCTCAACCATCCTGTTATGTTCTGTGATAAAGTGCCAATGTTATGGCATTCTTCGGGTGTTCTGGTAGACTGTGCAAAAGGCAGACTTGATTCAGCAAGATGAAAGAGCCTCTAATAAAAATAATTCCTAACAATCCCCAAAGAATTTCTGGAACAATGTGGTATTACTACGTTTTTTTCTCTATGGTTGGGAGTTCTAGCCAAGACCTTCAGACGTCATTGAACAAGGGGCAGATGTTCCCATGTCCCACCTGCCGAGTTGCTGTGATGGAATACAGGCTGGATTTGTGCCTAGTTAGCTAAGACACGAACATAAGAGTGACAAACGCAGTGACACAAAGACATGCCAGGAGGCTTTGCACACAGCTATAGAATTTCTCTGAATGGGTCAAATCCTGTTCAGGCATGCTCAAGCACATTAATTATTAGCTAAATTAAGACTTTTTTCACTAAACTTCTTCCTTCTAACAATGGATTTAACAACAGCAGTGGGTTTGGCGAGCTCAGTCATTGGTGGTCTTAACCACAAGAGTTGCTCAGTTTTGCCACTTTAATTTTGACGTAGGTTTAAGCTAGTTTTAGTCGATTTTTCATCTTAGCCACAAATGCAGTGAACTGTTCAAGCAGAGCACAGATATTCAGCACATTTATGTATGACTTTTTTTCCCCACAATTACCTTTTTTGAAACAGTAGATTTTCTACATCAGGATCTCCAAAGTAAAAGCAACTGTATCTTTTGCCACCCAAACTGCCTCTCTCTTTAACAGAATCAGAACCTGTGTCATCTTGGAGGTTTACAACAAACCAACATTTATTTTGTGATTAATGACGTTAAATTGATGTGGAGGCAGAAGGTTAGAATTCATTTAGTGGAAATTGTTTTAAAAAGATAAAACTTGTTAAAGCTGAAGAATGTGATTCTTCAGGATAGAATCCCTGTTAAGACTAACAGGGAAACAATGTGTGGTTTTTTACTTTATTTTGTTTAATTATGATGGTGAAAATGAGAAAAGAGATGAGGTGCTTAGGGACATGGTTTAGCAGGTGTGGGGGTGATGGGCTTACAGTTGGACTCAATGATCTTGAAGGTCTCTTCCAACCATAATGACTCTGAAATGCAAAAAAAACCTCCAGGTTGCCCCCTCCCCCCCAAATGGAAACCTTTCTCTCTTAACAAAGTGAAAAGCTTAAAATAATTTTGAGTTAAATCTTTCATTTAATATGGAGTGTAAGATTTTGGCTACTTTTTGAATGATGCCTTTTAAGTTTTTAACATTATCGTTCTAGCTAAATCTTGTCTTGCTTTGCAAGGAAAGAGTCTGTGCTTTACCTAAGTTTCTGCCCATTTTACGTCTGCTTTTTGGCCTCAACTTCGAGTTCATGCTGAATATACTCATCTTTAAAGTGTCACCTGGCTCACTTGCTAGCTTTACGTTCCGCTCTTTCCTTTTGTAGGGCCAAGATCTCCCTCCGAGTTTTCTAAAAATACAGGCCAGACTGGGAATAGCCTCTCGGTGTCATCGGAAGTTCAGCCTTGGAGAGGAGCAGTTTCCAGAGGGAGGGAACTTCAGCCAAGGCTGTTTGCCATTACCCAGCACTGGGACTGCCCCGGAGCAGCCGCAGTGGCAGCTCTGCGCTGTTGAATCCACCGTCGGTGTCACCTTGGCCCCCAGGGAGCCTCGGGGAGATGGTGAATGTAGGAATAAACAGCAGCTCTTAACACCAGAGCTTGAAGAGCTCTGCTCTTTCATCATGTTGTTGGATACGTTTGTAGGAATGCTTGTATGTGGGAAATATCACAGTGATACCCCATATATCTCTGTTCTTTTTCTTTACACAAATGATCTGTGGTTTGGGGGAAAAAAAAAAAGGGCAAGATGATTAGCTGTGAATAGGATTTCTTGTTTCTCAGATACTGGAATTAATTGATGCCTTTAATGGTGCATCATTGTGTACTGCCTGTTACCAGGCTGAACAAAAAGACAAAACCAGAAATTGGGTAACCCCTTCCTTTCTGTATTGTATTTTGTGATATTGAGGATGTGTGAATGGCTTATTCAAGGCTAAGATTTAGGAGAAATTAGCCCCAAATTCATAAATTCCTGTCCTGAATAATTAGACACAATAGAGCTGTCGTTTCCAAATTGTTTCTCCTGAGAGTCCTGAATAAGTGAGGATGTTTTCAGTGAAGCAGCATCTCTCCTCTGCAGCGGGTTTGGAAAATGTGAAAGGGAGCATTTTACTGCAATACCTGTTTTTCTAGCAGTGCAGCTACTGGGCTCTCACTGCTGTCTTTGCCTGCCCCGTCACCACCACCTCGTGCTTAGATTCTGAGGGTTTGATCCGTTTAAAGAGGAGACACAGCTATCGCTGTATCCCTGTCGTGCGGGGCTAGAAAATACCTCCGTGGACAGTGTGGTCATAGGCAGGGCCTAGGAGGGAGAGCAGGTGCTGAGGGCTGCCGGGGTCCCCCCCTTGGGTGCTGGTGCCCACACTCGAGCGCTCCAGCAGCGGCTCCCTGCTCGGCTTGCACACCCTGTGGGGACTGGGGGCCTCTACGTGCCCATGGTCTTGTTTGTGTGTTCGGAGGCCCAAAGCAGGATAAAGGAGAGGACGAAATGGCCTCCCCAACTCCTCGGCCTTCGCTCTGCTACCGTTTGAGGGAGGAGAGAGAAGAGGGGCCCCACTGCCACCCTCCCTGCAAGTGAGAGTCCCGTTGCCTTCCATAGATGCCCTGTAGACAGCGTGTCTTCACCTCGGTTTCCCAGCGGGATGCTTACCGCTGGCATGGTGAGTATGTTTTAATCATAAAGATAGGGAGCCTACGGTTCCGTGTCTCTTCCAATACAAATTATGCCAAGGAAGTGTGAACGAAGCATCTTATCTGTTATCCCTGGTTGTTCCTTTTGCTGCCTGATGAGGCCCGACAGCTCCCACAGGTTCTCTGCAAAGTCAGGTATGGAGGGGAGCAGCCAGCGGCCATCCAGCAGCACCAAGGAGGGGAGAAAGGAGGGTTGAACGGGCAGAATAGGGGGCTTCCTGGGGGGCATGTCCATTGCCCAGCCACACGCATGGAAAGCAGTAAATGTAACTGGGAGAGGAGTTTGCTCGGTGTTTCCTCTGGCATCAACAGAAGGAAGGGTGGCTCAGAGCTGCCTAGGCTTGGCTTTACTTTTTGTGTCTCCTCCACGCACAGAAAAGGGCGGAGAGCCCGGTTTCCACACCTGTCTGCTCCGGGGGTTCCCACAGGACAGACAGGGCAGGTGGTTCCTGAGCCCGTGTAGGGACCAAGCCCTCCACAACACGGTTCTTTGAAGATCACGTTCAGTACGCCAGGTGCTCTCAACGTTAATATCTCGAGTGTCTGCAAGGAGGCAGCGTGCAACCCTTAGGTAACAGCTTCACTTTCAGCTGCATGAGGTAAAAGAATGCTTTTTTTTTTTCTCTTACATACAGTATCGTTTTTTTAGCACTTTAAAACCATGACAGAAGTTACCCATCTGCTGAGGGCTGGTCTGTGCACTTTGTAATCTTTCGTACAGTTTTGTTTTTATTTTATTTTTTTACATTACTGTTATTTATTTTTACATGTGGAGCTATTAACAACATTTAGGAAGCATATAAAAAAGGTGGTAAAAACATGTGATTCACTCCAGAATAGGACGGCAGGACTTTCGGTTGCAGTGAGGTGTCTCCTGCCATCACTCAGCCGGTCCTCCCGCTTCCCTTGGCACCCGGTGCTGCCTGGGAAGGGGTGACCACGGTGTGAGCGATTCTGCGTGTGCTGGCCCTGGTGAGGGAACCTGAGCTTGTTCACAGGTGAAGCTTAGCCCTCCTGCAACTGGACCCTTTATATAGATGAGCTATTTCAGGCATTCTGCTCTGTGGCAGTAACGTTTATATTTGTGTCCTGAGAACACGGTGTGTGCTTTTAAGGGCAGCTCTGCTTGTTGAGGCTTGCTTGAACCAAACGTACTTGTTCCTTGCACACTTTCTTAGAGAATATCACACGGCCCTCACGTTGCCTCTGTTCTGCTCCGCATCTTTTGCTCGCTGTTTGTTTACTCCTTCTCCTGGCTGCACGTAACAGTGGTGCCCGTAAATGTGTGTTTTAATGGCAGGATGGTGAGTTGTGCCCGGGCCTGGGCCGCCCCTTCCCGGGGCGGCGCGGCGCGGTGCCCCCAACAGGCTGCAGCTGGGTTCAACAGTACTGTAACATATTGTAGAATAATTAAACTAATGAAACGTGTTCACGTGTCCCGGTCTCTCCGAAACTGCCTATAAACTTATAATCCTGTATTATTCTATTGAGGGGAACATGGTGCTTCAGTTTTATATGATGGATAATGCCAGAGGCCTGCACTGTTTCCAGAGATGCGCGCCCTTTTCTGTCTCTGCCATGTTGCCTGGCTTAGCTTCTACCCCCTATGTGTTTTTATGGTAATTTTGATTTCGCAAGCATAAAAGCCCTTTTCTTTCTTTCGCCAAGATTTGCTCGGGACAGTTTTTAAGGACTGGCACGGTGATCTGGGAGGTGCTGCCTGCGGCGCCCGCGCAGTTGGACGCTGCAGCTCTCCCTGCGCCGCTTGTCCGAGGCGGCGGGTGCCAGGGCTGCTGAAGCCGGAGGGTCGGCCCCTCTGCGCAGCCCGCGCTCGGGCCGTGCTCACTGCCTGGGCGGTGCGTGTCGCGGCCGGACCTCCGTACGCACCGGAACGGTCATTCTGCACCACTGCCAGCCTTGCCGGGCCCTTCCCCGCGCGCGGGGCTTGGATTGCGCCTTGGAATGGCTCCAAGGAATGCCCAGGGGCGACTGCAAACGCTCCCGGCTGCTCCTGCAGCCCTTGGAGGTGCCCGCCGCGCTCCCTGCTCTGCCTCCCAGCCCAGGCGGGCTGCGGTGGCTGGCGGCTCCCTTGGGAGGAGGCGGCTCCCGAGGCAGCTCCTCTTCCCACTCCCGATGCTCTGCGTTTAGTGGCCGGAGGGGAGCGGCTGGAAGGTGCCGGCTGCTCCGGCTGCGTAACCCGTAACCCGCGTTCCCTCCTTCCACCGCCGCAGGGTTAGGAGGTGGGTTGCAAGGAGCCCTGTCTTCATCGTGACAGTATTTTAAAGAACTTCTTGAAAGTTTCATCTTGAAAGTAAAAGTTCCCTTTTAGTCTCTGTTTTCATTAATCAGTCTGAATGACGCTTTTATGCAAGAAAATGACACGCTGTAGTCATCGAAAGGGAACGGTAACTGAGACAAAATTTTAAGGGTCATTGGTGTTTCAGCATTACAGTGTAAAGCTTTCTCTCCCAAGGAATATGGTTTAATATTTTACGTTAGAGAAGTGCAACTTTTCTCCTTCCTCTCGTGATGCAAAGGATTGTTTTGAGGTGTGGGATGATGGGGGTGGTTCTCATCCAACAAACTGGTGAATTCTTGGGTAGGATTTGGGGGAAAATAGGCCATTTACAAATGCTTGGTCTCATGAAGAACTGCTGCTTCTCACAATGAGTCCAGACAGTTTTGCTGCCAGAGGTATCGCATGTCTGCCCTAAAATGATTTAGTTCTGTTTGTTCCGACCATGTTCACAACTGGAATGAGCCTCCAGAGCGATGCAGGAGCCGCCAGCCCTCGCTGGATCCATCCGCGCGCTGCAATGAGCAGCCCGGAGGTGAGAGGGGATGAGGGGGGTCTCACGGCAGGTCTTACTGATTGGAATCCTCCTTGGATCCTCCCAGCCAAATGGATTCTTTAAGCAGGATTTGCATTTTGATAGAGAGCACTGGTAGGGTTAGCAGCTGTGGCAAGAAAAGCCATGGTGGTAGTACAAAAATCCTCAAACCTGTATTGTTTGGGGGAGAGTTTCACTTGCATTAAAAGTAATAATAATAAGCATTAGCATAAATACCATTCCTTGTTGACGCAGCATTATTTTTTTTCTGAGGCCAGAAGTCTACAGGGTGAATCACTGGAATTCTGAATATATAAATGCAGGGCTCAAGCCAGAAATGCTAAAATGTCTTCAAATTCTTCCTCAATTTCTCCCTCAAAAGACAAATTCACCACATCCCTGCCTGCCATACGTGCAAGCAGACTTGCCTCCAAAACCAAAAGGGATGGCACACGATGCTGCTCAGTGTTCCTGCTCTTCCCACAAAAATGTGCAACAGAAAATGCCAGATTCCTAATCAAGAACAGTTTTCGTTGATCAGAAGATGTTGCTAGATGCTCTCTCTGGAGCTGCAGCAGTCCCTCCAGTCACCCGTGTGCTTTCATCCTCCCGTTTCAGTTTGCCTGAGCTGCAGCCGGGGCTCGCAGGCGCTGTCCTGACTGCGGCGGTGTCAAAGGCCCCGTCGGGCAGAGGACTCTGCTGCTCCGGTACCTGCTGCAGAAGGGAGCAGCAACAGCTGACTGCAGGTTGTGAGTGCAGTAACTCAGGGGAGAGTTGAGACACACAAAGGGTTTTTTTTTTTTCCCCTCAAAAATCATCGGAAATCCATTGCTGTTCTTGGTGCTTACCAGTAAAGGGGGGAGCTGCCCGTTTGTGCGTTCACGCCAATGTGCTGCAGCCAGGAACCTGTGGCCGTGGCCGCAGTCGGTGCGCGGGCTCCCAGCCCACTGCTCTGCGTGCCCCGCTTCGGGCAGGAGCCACTTCTAGGTCCTTGTACAGCGTTGTTATGTATGTGCTTTATACATATTGTATATATGTGCTTCTCTTTCTGAGCTTTTGGGTAAGCAGAGAGGTAAAACAGGCACTTGGGTTGTCCCACAGGAGAGCAGCACCTGTGAGATGCTTCACTGGCGGGAGTTTCAAACTCCCTGAGCCTCGTGCCTCGAGCACGGGCAGGGCTGAAGCTCCTGCCTGCCGCTGCGGTCACATCTGGGCAGCCACCGCAGCCCGTGGGAGCGGGGAGCTCCCAGCTGTGCCTGTCACAGAGGGAGGCGGCTCCTCTGGTGGCCCAGGAGGAGAGGCCCCTTCTCCTGCCACAGGGGCTCCAAGTGTCTGCGGCGCCTGCCCGGGACGCCGGCCCAGCTGCAGCCCTTGGCTCGCCCCGGCCGTGGCGCTTTGGTTTCCCAGACCTCTGGAGCACCAGCAGCAGAGCCTGCCGCGCAGAGGACCCTCTCCATGCACATCATTATTAAGTAGCTCAGGTCAGAGCTGGTTTTTCGCTCTTCGCTTACAAAAGCAGCCGATTTGAGATTTAATCATTTCAGAGCGTGTGAAAGACTCCTCTTTGGTAAGGATCTTATTACATGCACTGCTAAACTGTTCCCCTGCTGACATAAGAGTGTAAAATTAAGTCTTCTTCAGGGTCAAAGATGAGCAGGCATTTGGCTGAAGGGAGGGCTGTGTTCTCAGTGGTAAGCAGGAACAGCACAGCTACCAACATCTTGCTTTTAAGAGCATCAAGTTATGGATCCAGTTTTATACCAGCCCGTGAGCAGAGTGCCAAGCTGTAACTCACAGTCCTCATTCCTTTTTGGCTTCAAAAAGGCAAGATATTCTTCAGATTCTTCATATTCCTCAGGCAGGATGCATATTCTTGGCAATTTACTGGTGAGATTGCAGGCTACGATTAAACAAAAGAAAACTCTCCTTTTTTGAAAGTTTCCCAACACTCCTAACTAAGCAGCGAACCTTTCCGTTAATTCCTAAGTGATGACTTGCAACTGAGTATTTGCACAGCTCTGGAAATGATAGATCCTCGATGAACTTCTGCTGTGGAGAACGTTCCCCTGCCAGCACGTGCACAGGCTGATCCGTCTCCAACATGAAGGAATTCTGTTAGGACAAGTCCCTGAACGTGGAAAGTCGGGAGCAGGAGCGTCGCAGGGTAAAAGCACTTCTTTCTCTCACTGCAAACTGGGGCTCCTCCTAATTACTGTCTGTCTTCTTCTGTTCCTTTATCATTTTCTTTCTGCCACTGCGTTCCCTCTTCCTGCCAGCAGCTGTTTTCTCCTCCCTGCTGCTGGAAACAGCTACTTGTGTTGCCTTCAGCTGGGCTTTGTGATCAACTGTAGTATAGGGGAACTGGAGGTCAGTGCTGAGCTTCTCTACACCTTAATTCTGAGGCTACTGTCTCTGTTAAATGGCTGCAAAGAGAAATTTTCATCCAATTTTGGAATTCCATCCATCAGCTTTTATCTCTGGGAGGAATTTCTGACAACCATCTGTTTGCAAAACAATATTCTTTTATTAATAAAAGACTTAAAAACAGTAAGAAAGAAACTCAAATTTTACACTGACTGAAAAATCCAAAATAATCTCCTGGAGCCTTGCCTCAGTCCTTCACTGTCTGTACAAGCAATGCCACCGGGTAATAATTCTACACAGAAATTTCTCTAAAGACAGCTGGAAGTACCAAAAAGCATCATGCACGTGTCTATGCAGAACAGCTCCCCAACAGGACAGACAATACACAAAACAATCTGTACATCGGTGATTAAAAAAAGCCATGCTTTGTGTAGCACCAAGGGCAGAGTATGGGGATTAAAAAAATCACTGCCAAATGAAAGCCCCGTAATGCTGAGTTAGGGACACGACTGGCCAATTTCTGCTTGCAGTTTCATCTCCTCTTTCCTCAGGGGAAAATTGTCAATAAGTGCAAACAGCTCGGCTGGTGTTGCTGGGAAAGGGTAGCGCTCCTTGTCCATTCCGTGCTTGTCCATCACCACAACGTTGAAGCTGTAATGGGGGATTCGCAGCAGCAGTCTGCAAAGCAAGGGAACGCGGCCCGTCAGGCCCCTCGGCTCCAGCCTGCGCCCTTCGCACAGCAACCAAGTGCAGAATGGGCTGGTTTTCAGTGACTGCAGGGAGGAGGGAAGTGCAGGAAGAGGGTGCTAGGGAAGCTGGCGTGGGTAGGGAGGGTGGGGAAGAGGAGCAGAACCACAAACAACACTTTTTTATTTTTTTAAACTTTGAATCACACATTGTTTTTTTTTTCCATGATCCCACCCTCTCTTCCTAGGGAACAAATGCTTTTGTTTTCTGCAATTAAAAAAAAAAAAGCCTGTCAGGCTTAGCAGCAGACTGATAAAATGATAAAATTTTCTTTGAGGATGAGAAACTCCATGCTCTTGCCTAAGGTATCAGCAGATATTGTCTAAGATGCCACAGAAGATGCTGCCTGAAATGCACCTGGACTTTTTTCCCTAAGGAAATACTACTTGCCCTGTCAGCCACCCCTTTGCTTTGCCACCCCTTCCTTCTTTCTCTAGGAAAGGCTGGCACCCGAAATGTCCCTTTCAAGGGAAAAACCAACTGGCTGCCAGTAAAAAACCAGCTCAAAGCAGTTTCTGCATGTGGGTAAAACTGCTGAATGTCCCGGCCAGGCTGGAGAGACCGAACCGCTTTTCCCTTGAAATAACTGGAGCCGGGCCCTTCCTGCCTGGCCCCAGCCACCCGCTGCCTGCAGGGCAGGGCGGTGGTTGCTGCTCTGGGTGGATGTGCTGGGATGCTCCTTAGGACTGGCCTGGCAAAGGGAGCGTAGGCAGTCAGGAGAGACCACGTCCAGCCACAGAGATGCCCACTTGGAGTGTTCGCAGTGGCAGCACTCAAATCCAGAACACACATGGCACTTAATCCCCAAGGGCTGCAGAGAGAGTTGGCCTGAATTCGGGAATCCACTCAGTCTGAGCAAGGGCCGCGGGAGGAAGGGGCCGCTGCTCCCCTGCCATTTGAAGGTGGAACTAGCCAAGCTCCTTCTTTTGTAAGCCACCTGCCCATGACTCTGCAGCTGCTTTGCGTGAACGTATATATCACCAACCTTACTCATGACCATTCACCTTCGGTGCCCGGCAAGGTGCATTCCAGGGAAACACGTGCACTCCCGCAGCAGGATGAGGCAAGCAGGGGCAGCCCGTGGCAGGGGCCGTGCCAAGCTGCCCGCCGGCCGCGGGGCGAGCGCCGCCCTTACCTGAGCTGCAGGGCCAGCGCCGGGGGCAGCAGCTTGGCTCCGATGCGGCCGATCTGCGCCGGGAAAACGCCCACGAGCTCCAGCACGGTGACGTGGCGCAGGTCCAGGCCGCACTGCGCTGGCTGGGGGGATGCAAGCGAGAGGAGACAGGCGCGTCAGCGAGCGGGAGCAGCCGGTCGCTCCCGGCGCCTCCAACCACTTCCGTGTCCCTGCTTCATTCCGTGGATGTTACTGAGACTGTTTGGATTGAAGTGAGGGCCTCGCTGAGGAGCCCGCTCCTTTCCTGCTAACTGGAAGCCTTCTCGCTCCCAGAGATATCAAATAAAGGGGCTCTGAGCTACCCTAAAGTAACGCTGCACAGAGACCACCTTGGAGGAATATGAACATACCCTTAATGAAAGGAGAAGATGCCAGTTTATTAAGCATTTCCTAAGCAGCAATCTGGTTTGGCAATCAAAACGAACTCTCTGAAATGGAAACCAGCTGCAGGAAATTATCTTTCATGCCAACTTCATCACCGTAAAGCAATGAGTAAAAATATTCACTGCATTGAGTATTGTAAGCTATTCCCAATACTGATTAATACTTTTTTTCCCCCTCAGTGTGGGAAAAAGGAATCGGGGCCTAAGCACTTGTCACTGTCAAAGAAGACACTGGACTGGCTCTCCCTTAGGCCAGATACATGTTTAAGATACATCCCTAAGCACAGCTAGCAGAAATGTAACAAGAGCCTAATAAATATAATATATATGTTGATACAAATCGAATTACCCGCAGTTATTACTCTTTTGGAACAGCACACTAAAACGTTACCCTCTCCAGCAGCCCGGAGGATTTCTGAGTCTCCAGGGCTGTGCCCGCTTGCACACCAGTTATTTCTAAGGCCATTCACATTTTACATTACAGCTGCAAAGTGTGCATGAACTGGGGCCCCTGAAGTGATGCATTTTTTTTTTCAACTCCTTTAGGAGTCCACGTAAGGACTGAGTTCCGCTAAATCATGAGAGCACAAGTTAATATTAAATAAATCACTGGAGGGGGCCAGAACTGCCTGCGGTTCCATCACTATCAATCAGACGGCGGCAGTACCAAAGAGAGCAGAGCTCAGTCACTGTCTGGGGAGCTGTTTAACTCAAGCCCATTTAAAAGGGTAACTGCAGAACCGCTGGTGGTCGCAGAGTAACAACTGAGGTCTGCTGATTTATACCAACAGTGGGGCTTGTCCTCTTGAGCCCTTATAGAAAAAAAATACTTGGGAAAAAGAGAATCAATCAGGAAAGAAACCCCCGGTTCTGTTTTACCTGCAACATTCCCAACTGCATCCGGTAGAAGAAGTTGGCTGCAGTAGGAGTTGAAATGATGAGCAACCTGCGTTTCTCATAAAACTGGTCCAGGAGTGCAGCTGCAGTCCTTACGTTCACATTGATATTCATGGCTGGAATTAAATTTTAAAACGTAGGTTATAGAGGGTGCTGAAAACAGATCTACTTCTAAAAGCATAAAGGCAAAAACCACCAAAAGCAGAGGAGCATGAGGACACCTCTGATTACAGATACAGATCAGATACAAGATACAGGTGAAACTGGCCTCAGGGAAGCCAAGAATTTCATGTGAATTTCAAGAATTTCATTTCTCTTCCCAAGTATGGCACCGTGTCATGAAGGAATGTTTCTCCCCCTTGCCTTGTAACAACAACAAAAAATCTAGAGTGGCCTTTTGCTTGGAGAGGATTGGAAATACTGCTGCTAGGAGGGTTAGGAGCTGGTGCTAAACAAGGAAGTGGAGCTGGGAACTGGGCAGTTCCTGGTGCAGGGAACTGGCTTGGTAATAAACACTCACCATTAAGCTCATCATTAAACTGAGCTTAAGAGAAAGGAAAGGGCTGCAGAGCACTGGCTCTTCTATGCCTCCATATTTTGTATACACTTCTATAGCTTAAACAGATCCATTTGACAGTTTCCTCCCTACTACTTAAAAGACAACCGAAAGCAACAGGTTGCTGCTGTGTTCCAGCTTATGGACCTGCAGCTCCAGAATGTCAAGCTTTGTGTAGCGGTTTCAGCTGAAAAACCACTACCAGTGCAAGGTACCCTGCATGGTGCTATGCTGGACTACCCTGATGGTGATCAGAGGCAGGAGCTGCCGAGGGCGGCAGATGCTCCCCACGTAAGGACAACTGGGAAGAGACAGCAAAGACGAGGTTTGTGTCTCCATCACGTTACTCACGTGCAGGGGAACCTGCTCTTGCGCCCTCCCGTTAGCCCCGTGGGGGCAACGCTCACGTACGTGCACAGGTCGGCTCCACTCCCGACCAGCCCAGGCTGTACTGGCACACGCGAGCCGGGCTCCCTTGCAGCTCGTAGCCGCCCACGCAGGAGAACTCGCACGTCGCCCCGTAGTTATTCCCGTCACCGGAGCACCGGACGTAGCCGTTATCCGGCGCGTGGAGTTTCACACAGCGCCTCACTGCAAGTCACGGGAGAAACGGAGGGGAAGGCATCAGGCACCGTGGTGCTAGGGCACCATGCCCAGGAGAACACTAATAAAAACAGGTATTTCTGCTTGCAGTCTTGCTTATGAGCTGCCTTATAGGTGAGGACTTCAAAAAAAACATGCCAAGCACACAGGTGGGCTACAGTGATCCAGTTATATGTGTGTGATCACACGGCATCATGGTGATGAGAGGTGAGGGAGCAGAAAGAGAGCTGAAACTCAGACCTACAGATTTTGATTAAGGGACTGGAGCATCTGTTGTATGAAGAAAGACTAGGCGACCTGGGCCTGTTCAGCCTGGAGAAGACTAAGAGGGCATCTGGTCAATACGCAGAAATACCTGAGGGGAAAATGTAGGGAGGATGGGGCCAAACTCGGTGGTGGCCAGTGACAGGACAAGGGGCGATGGGTGTAAGCTGAAACACAGGCAGCTCCATCTCCATGTGAGGAGGAACTTCTTCACTGTGAGGGTGCCAGAGCCCTGGCACAGGCTGCCCAGGGAGGCTGTGGAGTCTCCTTCTCTGGAGATCTTCCCAACCCGCCTGGATGCCGCCCTGTGCCCCATGCTCTGGGTGTCCCTGCTGGAGCAGGGGGTTGGACTAGATGATCTCCGGAGGTCCTTTCCAAGCCCAACCATTCCCTGATTCTGTGATTTTAACTCTGGCCAGTGCAGAGCTGCACTTGCCCCAGGGCAGCCCTGCTCAACAGACATGAGACACAGCTGAGAAGCCTCCATCAGGAGCATCTAACTAGCAGATAGTTAAAAATATGAGACCACTTCTAAACTGTTTACTAAGCCAGTAGCAAATCTGTGGCTATAGCTTAAAATATCATTCTTACCTCTGACTTTAACAAGAAATTTGCAAGTGCCTTTATTTTCTGCTCTGTCATACACAGTATATTGGATTTTGTGGTCACCTTCCGGAAAATGTGATCCTGGCGGCAGGCCTTTCAAAATAACACTAAAATGGGAGAAGAAATAGAGCAAATATATCAACTCTTGCCCGTGTTTTCCTGCAGCCAATGCTGTAAGAGCCTGAGGAGGGCAGGCCGGGCTGTGCCGTGCTGAGATCGCCTGGCTGCGCTACGTGCTGAAGAGCAGGAAGAAGTGGGGGAAGAAGCTGGGCAGCCACGTTGGCGTGGGGAGACCTGCTGACTCCTGGAGCGCTGGCACAGGCTGCCCAGGGAGGCTGTGGAGTCTCCTTCTCTGGAGATCTTCCAAACCCGCCTGGATGCCGCCCTGTGCCCCGTGCTCCGGGTGTCCCTGCTGGAGCAGGGGGTTGGACTGGATGGTCTCTAGGTGTCCCTTCCAACCTCAAACATCCTGTGAGTCTGTGATCCTCAGCTGGGGCTGAGCCTGCACTGCTCCTGCAAGGCAATGTGTGAAGCAGCCAAGTATCGTAACTGCCCAAAGGATCTTGAGTGTCTCCTCCTCATACAAGGAACAATAACTGTGTTGTTTATCCCTCACCTTGTATCCTAAGCAGACCACTGGCAAGGCTGCAGTTTAACCCAGGGCTGCTGTTGAGGAAGAGCTCCTGCCCCTTAGGGCAGGGGCATCACAAACGTAGCAGGTCTGTTCTGCCCACACAGACCCTGGTGACTGTACCAGCGTACAGAAAAGTAAGTGGAAAGTGAAATTTATTTTCACATTAGAAGAGCCTAGTGTCTCAGAGCAGCAGTTTCACTGGGAGCTTGTTCCCGTCTGCCAAACACGTCAAGAGAATTCGAGTGTTCACTTAATCAGACCCTCAGCACTGAACCACCGAGTTCTTCACCTAATGAAGGAGTTCACCTCATCTGCAGGCTGCAGGGCTCACCGCTCTGAATGTAAACACTGCACATAATTATTAGGCTGTATATAACATCACAGTGTAACCAGATTTTCAAAAATGTATAGAAAAAAATTCCACAGATTCAGCTGTTCATCTCTTGGGGCTGGGAAGAGTTATTGATTTGAGAAAGTCTAAATGAGATACTCTTTTTTTTCCTACTCATCAGACATTATCTCCTCAAAAAGACTCTGTGTTTTATTCCTTCTGATAATGAGCAGCAGCTGTTCAGATCAGACTTCTTATTCTAGCAGATTTTTAATCACCACAGAATTAATCTATGAGGCTTAACACAGCAATATTTCTAACTGCAGAGTGAGCTCCTCATTCTAAAATTATTTAAAACCTAATGATAAAAAGGCAATGTGCTTGTGTCTTTCAACAGCTTCTTTGCATACTTGCAGTTAAAATTAAGCAGAATTTCTACACTTTCATCAGAATAGCAATCCTCATAGATTGATATAAGGCCTGCATGATGAAGATGGGTGAATCAGAAGCAGTGATGCTACCAGAAGTGCACCTCACACTACTGTGGATAAGTTTCCTTTACTGTTAGTAGGAATTCTCATATTATAGATGAAAATTATGACTGTTAAACCATAAAAATTGATAAGAGAATTTTGAAGAATATGCCCTGTATCAGATTAAGTTAAATCCAATTTTTCCTTTAAAGCTACTTAGGGTTCAAACAAGCAGCATTCCTTTAAAGCTCCATGTGGATCTCTCTGTCACGAATCGCCAGCCCAACTGCAGGAAGAAGCCTAAGGACGACTGCAGGATTTGGATTGTGACACAGTTTGTTCTGTTCATACAGCCTGTATTGTCTGCTGCCTCCTCCACTGCAGCACTATCTTTATGCCTATAAGGGTAGCTCGCCATAACATGCCCATCAAGAGATGGGAGTCACGAGGAAGCTCTGGGAAATGCTCTCGCAGGTGCAGTCATCAGGCTAAGGTTATTGCTGCCATCCAAAGGGTAACAGCAGTGCATCACCCTTTTGCGTGTTGTTCCTGAATGAGCTATTTTTTTCCCTTCAGTTAAACATAAAATTCTTTATAAGGCTTAGACATGTGACAGCAGTTATTAAGTACCTTTAATGAACATCAGGGACCTGTAATTCAGCCAGCATCAGCTGCATTACTAAGCAAGGGCCCCAGGAATAAAAAGAGAAAATATTAATGGCTTCAGATTTCCACCTACTCTGTCAAAATCCCATCCGCCGTGTCCCTGCCCTCCGGGGTGTCCCAGAACACTCGGGCCGTCAACTTATTTGGCTCCGCGGTTTTCTCCTTCACGCTCGGGCACTGGATTCTCGGTGGTTCTGTATCTGTTGAAACAAAGGTCAGAGAAACGCGTACAGAGAGACCTGCTCCAGCTGCTCCTTTGCTTCCCAGCTCCCACCCTGCCACCACGCAGGAGGGACCATCTCCACCCGGCCTCCTAGACACCCTCCTGCCAACGCAGACACAGCGTCCAGACACGCCGCTGCTCCCCTCCTTCTCGTGTGCTCGTCTGGTAAGAGCAAGAGATGAGAAGGATTAACCCTCCCATACCAATGACCAAGTAAAAAGCAGTTATCATAACTTGCTTATACAGTCCCCAGTGAAAAAGTCACGTTAGCAAATAGGCTGTACTTAGTTTGGGACTCTAAGGAACGATGTGTGAGTTGTTCCTGAGGAGCCTGGACTTTCTGTTCCCCTGCTCTGCCTCTGCAGTGGTCACTAGCCCCATGCAGAGCACATGGGACACGGTGACCACTTCTACTGAGAGCCTGTTGGCCATTTGTCCTGCAGCAATGGCAAGAGAAACCAGAACCTGGTATTTTGGAGAGCGTGCCCACTGTGTTTTTACTGCACTTGATAAGGAGTTTCTCAAGTCATTCTCACAGTGTCTTACGCAGAGGAATGCAAAGAAAAAGTGTAGGGCAAGTAAGTTTTGCAGATCAGCTGCCTCTAAGAATACTGTCACTGTCATCCAGGGATAGGGGAGCAGTTGGGAGGAAAAGACCCTGATGGGAGATCCAACTGACACACAGCTGCTCTTCAGCCACTCACATCGGCAGCAGCAAGAATATGTGGGTGAACCAAGCCCTAATTCCACCACAGTCACCAAATACAGGAAAAAGAGCCATTAAAAGTTTGGTCTCAGGAGGCTGAAGCAAGTCCTGGTTTATGCCCCAAATGAAGTCTAAATCCATGGGGTAACGTGATGGCTTTAAAAAACAGAGACAAGGCCCTTCACCTGGAAACAGAAGACAGTCCCTAAAATGCTACTCAAATTTAAAGGGAGGCAGACACTCATTTGCAAGGCAGACATAGAAAACACAGTGTGGCTTTGCTTGTAAGAAACAGCAATCAGAAAAGGGGTTGGTCATCATAGAGCATCAAATACATAAAATAACTTAACCAGCCCTCACATCCCCCAACTCAGCAACATGCAACCTTTTGGACCTGTTTAACCGGCCAAGCACAGCCCTGGACCAGCCACTTCCAACTTCTAAGGGCATCCCAAGAGCTTGGAAGCCTCCGAAACTGCCTGCCTTGGATTTCCTCTGCAAGGCCTCGGCCAGCCCGGGCAGCTGGACACTGGCCCAGGGAGCGCTCCTGGCTTCACACCGGATGGACCAAGTGTGTCTATGTATGAGGGGGAGAGAGAGCTTGCAAAGGGCCAAGGTACCAAAGTCACTCCCACCAGGAATGCTGCCAACAACCTTGCCCAAATACTTGTTTTCTATGGGCATTTTTTTTAAGCAAATAAATAAGCTTATTTTTGTGCCACACTGGTAGATGATTCTTGCGATTTCTTTGTAGACCCTGCTAGAAGGCTCTTAAAGCCTTCACCCTGCAGCTAGCGGAGCCACCAAAAATGAACACCGGAACACATCTACTCCCTTCCCTGGAACCCCCTTCCCTGGGGCAGGCTGCGGAGCTTTTTGCCGGAGCCTTCCCCGAAGCTGCGCTGGGAGACGCGAGGCCGGCGGCGGCGCCACTCACCGACGCAGGCGGCCGGGCGGCCGCTCCAGGCCTTGCTGTCCAGGCAGCTCACCGTGCGGTCGCCCTTCAGCTGGTAGCCCGGCGAGCAGTAGTACTCGCACCGCGAGCCGAAGTAAGCCCCGTCTGAGCACTTGAAGCCGCCGTTGGCCGGCATGGAGAGCGTCGGGCAGCGCTTCTCTGCAAGAGACAGGAGGCGGTTCTGGAAGCTTCTGGAAGCACGCAGGGCCCTGCACGGGGGCACCGCGCAGAAACGAAGTTGCTGCTCACAGCGTTCAGCAGCGGCCGGTACCTTCCACGTGGGGCTTTTCACATCGTTCTCGCTAGCCATGTTTCAATTTTAACTTTAGAGACAGATTAGCCTAATTAATATTTATAAAAGAAAAGGACTTACCTATTCGGTTCTTCTCAGTAAGTCATTTAGCTCAAGAGCCCGTTTAGGGATCTGAAACAAACCTTTCCAGCTTTCAAAGCCAAAGATGTGCAGCATTTTACAGGAAGTACTTGGCTCTGTCATGAGACTGTTCCTACAAACCCGACTCCCGCTCATTAAATGCTCCATGATCTACGTTTAAACTGCAAGCACTTCAGCAGGAAGCCAATCCACAGACCCGTGCACACTGGCAATATTTAGGTTACAAATAGCAGTGAAAAGACTGGCACCTTTCGCCAGTCACAGCTTTCGGCTGTACCAAACACCAAGGCCAAGAGACTTGACCATCGACTGAGTCCCAGAACAACCCACAGGCACAATCTCAATGGCTACTTACGTTTGCACAACACTTTCCCAGACCAGCGTTTGCTTGACTGACAGATGAGCTGCTGAGGGCCGTGCAGTTCGTAGCCTTTTTGACAACGAATGTCACATCTTGTACCCAGCACATTCTTATAATATTCCCCTTGGGGTGTTCTGCAGTTGGCATAACCATGTTTCACCTTAATGGGAGAGCACCACGGTGTTTCTGGCACGGAGAACAAAAAGCACAGAATATTTTATGAAGTACTATAAGAGGTTTAGTCACAAATACAAAAGCATTTTCTTTATTCAAGGTCAAGAGAAGGTAAAAAAAACCCAAAATCTGTTCTGAAAAAGCTACCAATCTCCCAAAGCTGGGAAGTGACGTTGTGGTGAGGTTCTCCTGCTAGAGCCTTCACGAGGAGGTCCAAGACTGCAAAGCTCTTTCCTTTCAAAAACATTCAGGAGAGCATCCATTACACTGGGTGAGGGAAGCAGGCAGCGGGGTAATTGTGCCACCCTGTGGACAGTTTGGTGACGACCTTTTTTTTTTATATATATATAAAAACTTTTGATACCAAAAGTTTGCATTAGGAATTCATCTGGTTCAGCTGCAGCAGTATTTTTGCCACGTTTAGCTGTTTTTACTGCCGATTAGGAGAAAAACAAAATCAAAAAAACATTGATGTACTGCGATGGTTTGAGCTCTGTCTCATTATGAGGAGCATCACCTACATAAATCACACTGCCAAAATGCCAGAGCTGTGGGAATACATACCCCAGGGGTCAGCACAACTGTGAAGGACTCAAGCACAGCTCCAGTTTTGCAAAATGATTTCCCAAGTTACTATTCAGTAATAAAGCTGAATGGAAACTTGTAAATTATACAAGACCAGTAGCTCCCCTGTTGTTCTCAGCAGGTCTATGGCACTATAATAAAACATGCTACTATTCTTTATATTACTAACAAAAAATAAGAGCTTTATACCAGCATAATTATACAGTATCATTACCCGAAGAAAAATATTTAACCCAACCAACTAAATGAAAAGCTCTTGAAAAAGGTCTAACCTATTCATCTCCTAATGGTTTTGATGTGTAGTTTCCAAGTGCAATGTGCACACTGAAACACCACGTATGTATTTCACAACACTTCCTCTCATCAAGTCCTTTATAAGGGTATCCATGTTCCTTTACAAGGCTATTATGTGTATTTATGTGTATTTAGAATGGGTATTTAGAAAAGGACCCCACCTGCCCTGTTTACATCCAGTTCTGAATGTTCTCCAAGTCTGGATTTGCATCTTGTACGTGGACCTCAAAAGCTGGGTGGAGGGTCATGGGAGTCTGGCCTGCACTACCACCTTCTGGATGCTCCTGGGCCCAGGACAGCAAAAGTGATGGAACTGTAAAGTGATGGAACTGTAACGTCAGGGGAAAGCTGGAATTTGGCTGCGACAGCATAGCTTGTGCTCCTACCGCATTTGTGGAAAAATGAGGTGTGTGAGGGGGGAAATACAGAAATAAAATTGACTCCATAGTAGTCTGTTAAGGCCACACTCTAAATGCAAATATATGAATCTGCAGATATATGAAGCCATTCTGGGACACAGATGTCCCATCTTACATGGGTGCAGTGATAAAGACCTCCCCTTCACAGCAAAATGTTTCCAAACGTTTGCTCATCTTTGACAAGCGTGTGCACGGAGCAAATATTGTCTCAGTGACTAAGCCTGCCCCTTCTCAGCTCCAAGATTTGAAAAGGATGTAACGAGAGGGAGCAGGGATTGCAAGGCAAAAACAGAAAGATGACACGTCCTGACACCCTATGTGACAATGTGAGACATGCAGGAGGTGTGCAAGAGCTTGAGTGGGCAAGAAAGATGAAAAAAAAACCCAAAACACCCCCAAAGCAAAGTTTTAGCCTTTGTCTTTACAAAGTTGCAAGAGAAATTTAGAAATAACTTCTAAAAACAGCAACAGTTTAGCAGATGCTTACTACTTACTCTTAATTCCTGCAGTCATTTTGCACTTTTTTTTTTTTTTTTTTTACATGACTGATGTGCAGTCATGTAAAAATAAAGGGGACTCTCCCTTTATTCGAATAAAGTTTTTGGGTCTCCTCTGTCTCCTTTTGGACATTCAGTTCTTGGGCAGCGAGATTTTTCCGCACACTGAGATCAACTTCCTATCCAAATAAACACAGTCAATGCAACATCTCATATTTGTCATACACAGCATATTTACATTCAGTGTAGGGCATCTCTAGGGCATTTTACACCTTCCCAGCAGAAATGCGATTTTCCACCTACATTTTGCGGTGCTGTCACTGGAGCAACAGAAATAGCATCCAGTGAAAGTGGAAAGAGCAATTATTGAGCTTTTGACTACTCCAAAAGCAAGTTCCTCTAGACCAGTCTGTTTCTGAAGCAGCTACCTGTTGCTGTGACAGGCTTATTTTCATATGTTAGCCAATAAATCTGAAAGTCTTTTGCAAAGATGCATAAACAGCATGATTCCTGTTGTCACCGAATATACAGTAATTGAAGCACAGGGAGATCAGCTGCCTAGGCTAACTGGAGCAGTCAGGGCCCTTCCCACTTCCTGCAGCTAATTATTACATTCAGTCGTTCTGCAGATGGCTTTAAACCTTAATTTGTTTAAAAAACAAACACACCAAAAAACCCCACTACTGACCAGGGGTGCAGCAGGGGGGGATGGAGGGGATGAGGAATCACAGAGTCCTAAGGTGAAAGTCCAACCTAAGTAAGTTTTGGGAAAAATCAGTTCCTATTATTTGTGCCTCATCTGTAAGATGCAAACGAGCACACCTCATCTCCTCTGCAAAGGGGTTAAGCCAAATATGCTATGCTATGTCAGCAAAAAGCCAATTAAGACAAATATATACATCTCCAAAGCAGCTGGGCCAGGTCCTGCAAACTCTGTGAGTTTTACCTGAGAATTTTTGCAGCTTTACAAATACTCTTGCTTGGAGTAAACAGCTGCATGTGTGAAGCAAGTGCAGTGAAAAGCACAATGGAATATCCAAAGAAAAAAATAGTCCCTGCAGTGGTAGAAGCCTTGCAGCCATGGTGGTCTACAGAAAGAAGCAGAGCAAGGCTCCTAGGGAGACCTAATAGATCCTGTACTGGATTAGATGATATGTCCACAGAAAAAAAAATAATAATAACCAAAACAAAACCCAAAACAGACGTGCTTTTGGATGCAGATAACTTGTAGAGCTTAAGAGAAACATCTGTTTGACCTAAAACATTATAATGCTTCCCCTGGAACAGAAAGCAAGTAGAAGCAAATGGGTGAGGCAGGGCTTGTAACAGGGCAGTTATCTGGTCTTGGAGCAACGGATGTCACTGAAGAAACAGCAAAACAAAACAAAACTCAGCGAGCTTGAAGAGCGTACGTGCCTGAAAGCACTTCAAAAGGCATGAGGTTTTAGATCAAAGTGTGTTTATTGTAAGCAAAAGCAAATATTGCTCCTCAAAGGCCGAGCTGCTGTTGCATTTATGGAGTATTAATGCTGGGGTGGGATGGCCTGAGGGGCCATATATTATCAACTCTCTCCTTCAGGACAGCGTTGTGTGGGTCCGTAGAGGCCCAGGGGAACAGAAGAGGAGCGTGGGTGGCAGAGCCTCCCCACTGGGCCCTGTGGAGGCCCAGCTCTCCGCGGGCAGGGTGACCTGCTGGCCAGGCCGAGCCTCACCAAGGAGGCTGGGAACAGCCCTCCAAAAATGCCGCGGGCCCGGGAGGCATCGGCAGCGTTTCTCCAGCAAGTGGAGCGAGCCGGGAAGCATCCAGACGGGGACAAAGGGTCCGGCAGGAGGTCGGGCCTCCTCGTGCGAGCCGCTGAGCGCGGTCTGTAGCACGCCGAGGCAGGCCGAGCGCCGCGCCGGCTCGCATGGCCTGCCTGCGCTTCCCTCTCACTCTGCCCTCCCTCTTCCCCCTGTTCCCAGCTTAAATAAGTAGCCCTATTTACAAGTAAGCCTTGCCTAGTTACAAATAAGCCTTCCAGGTTCCTCCTTGTACCCTCTTATATTGCCTGCTCTTCTGCAACATTTGGCGGTGAGGCTTCCAAACCTGGGGGAGTCTTTAGGACTTGTATGAATGACTCATTGTGTTTCACTTACCCCGGTGTCATTTTGGCTGACATTAATATAATTCATTTGGGATCACTGTGTAAAAGGAATTTACACAGCATCTGCATTTTGACTACTCGCCTGCCCTGGCATGAATTGGCACTGATTTTTCTTCATGATCTCTGGAATTCTCTAAGTGTCTGCAGAGGGTTACGCGTTAAAAGGCAAACAAGAGAACATTTACCCATGGCAAGCTTTGGAGAAATATTTCTGTGCATGTTTCCAAACAAAATTTTATAGTGAAGTATTTCTTTTCCTGGGAAGAACATCAGGCATTTACATATATTAAAAAAACCCAACAATCTGCAGCATCTGTGTTTTCCTCTCTGCTGCTTATAAATGTCTGAATTACTTGAAAACTTACCTCTTAGTTAAGGTCTGTTTAATTTTCTCTAGAGTACCAATAGCATATAACAAACAGTCAGTGCCCAATGCTTTCATGCTACTAACACAGTAGATTTCTTTCTAGCAAGTCCAGATTAGTCTACTAAAAAGAAACCACAGTCACCAGGCAAAAAGACATAAAAGTCACAGTTCCTTAAATTGTTTGGGCATCTGAGGGATTTTGACAGAGAACTGGGGGGAACACTGAGACAGATGCAGACTTTTTAAGCAAATGAATATAGAAATGTAAGATTTACCAGCAATGAAAAAAACTTCCCAATCTTATTGAACAGCAATCTCTTTTGGACTACAGAAGAAAAACTGAATTTGATTTACAGAAGGATAAATCCAGTGACTCATTAATATACCTGCATAATTTGAATTGACATAATTTACATGTTCATTAGTTAAACACACTTTGCTTAACATTTCAGGTTGCAAGTTAACCTGAAATGAGACCCATTTTAAGGAAGAAATAAAGAAAGGTCATGAAAATCAAGTTCTCTTGCATGTACTTCTATACATTATCATCAATAGGCCCAGTTTTGGGGTCAACTTACCATTGATGATTTAGCCATGACGTATAAAGAAAGAAGAGAAACTATTCCTAGATTTTCATGAATGAGCAACCTTATTCTCCAAGAGCAAAGGCTGTACAAAACTAATGTATTTAGGTACATACGACAGTGGAAATCAGAACCTGGTCTAACTTCCACTGTTGTAAAAATAAAATCTTGATCTAAGAGCCATGAAGAAACCATGGAGGTAGATCACTAAGATTTTATAAAACAAGAAAAGAAAAGTAGTTAAGCTCTCAGCAACAGCTGATTCTTATTAGCACATAAGCAAAGCATTCACCTTTATATCTATTGCGTGCATACACATCTTCATCATCTTCAAGGGGGGAATATCCCGATCCTACAATACAAAATAAAAAGAAAACACTGCAGCAAGAAAGGAAATATATATTAAGAGAGGGCTTTGCAAAAAGACATGCATGATTAGGATGCAATAATCTAAGCAATGCCATCAGCATGGGCCTCCTTGAAGCTTAGATTTATAGCAGAACCAGTTTATAGTGAATTTGGAGTGATCTGTTAGGCAAATGAAATCAAAGTCTCCTGCTGTTGTTCCACAATGACACGTTGGACATTTCACAGCTCCTTGGCTATGGAAAGGCCCCCATGCTGAAGCTGATCTACTGAGCAGGGCTGCCCAAGCGAAGGGGTACATCAAGCATTTCACTATAAAGTGGTTGCATAGTGTCAGAGGCTGTTAACAGCCATCAGGCTGGAGGAAAATGTGCTTAACTTGAGAACATCCATCACTTGTGACATGAATGACCTTCATGTAGAGAACAAAACGGTGACATACATTACCTGCAAACCCCAGTTTGGCATCAAGTCTTCTGTGCTGGTACAAACCGAAGAGATAGTATATACCATCACTTTGCAAGAGCTGTGCAACAGTTGTAAGCTTAGGGCAAAAAAGGCAGAAACTGCTTTCGAAAATTCTGTAATTTACCATGGGCAGAAACCATCTAGAGCACCATGATCCAAGTAACTCATTAGTAAAATATGCTGGCTAGCAGCAAGGCCTTCAAAATAGCCTTATGTGATATTTCTCTAAAATCAGCAGCTGGTTTGGTCCAAAATCGAGCTGAGTCTTTTCCAAGAAGAGAGGTTCACACAGATTACTACTCTAAGAAGTATTTCTAAAAATCTGGCATACAATAGCCAGATACTAGGGAGGCTTTGTGTGAAACTTCAGAATTTTTTTGCCCACGGAATCTGAAATCACAACCCTAGATATTTAATCACCATTTGTTGAAGTCAAAGCCACTCTTTAAAAGCTGATGCTTGAAGTTGAGCTAAATACAATAATTTAAGTACCTCAACAAGCTGGTTTCATGTGCAGAGCACCTAATTCTGTGCTGAAATGGAAGTCAACAGCCAATAAAGACTTGGATGATTTAGCAAAAGGTTAAGAGTTACCAAAACAGTATTTTTCTCCCCTAGATGAGTGTCAGCATCTGTCAACACATTCCACTTAAAAAAAAAATCCAGAAACTAGTGAAACTTTACTTTTTATCTTATGAAGCCTCTGGAAAAAGTCACTTTGTTATTTCACGAAACTTTGTATAACCAAAGCTTATTGCTCTCACTGGGAATCCTCCTACCACTTCCAAGGGCTTTCACCTCACGTATTACCAAGCTAATTCCAAACAGTTTCTCCCTTAAAATGCAGGAAGCATTTTCTATAGCACAGCCTTGCAGTTATTTGGAACTTGCTTCTCTGGGGGATTTGTTTTTGTTGGTTTTTAACTGTTGCTGTCTAAACATTGATATCTTAAAACAACTTCTCAACATAAAAAACATTAGACTTTGCTGCATTTCAATTCTCACCCTATACTACAAAGGGCAAGCTGTGTTCCCCAAGGGCTTCGTGAAGACCTTCATATTTAAAGGAATGTAAATGAACATTGCTCCAAGCACCAGGTTTTCTCTCGGAATTAGGACACTCTTGGCTAATCACCCAGCTTGAGGTTTACAAAAATCTTGTCTCAATGCATTCATTTTGAATGGTCCAAGTTTAACACTGCACAGGGAGTCCAGTACCTGTGCATCGCTAGAAGTTAAAGCCGTGCTGAAAACACAAAGAGCTGCTGTGTATTTACTTCTCTTCAGAGGGAAACACGATTAAATACTTTTGAAAGTCTTCTCATGGCAATTAGCCTCAAGTGATTCACTGCTTTTGCCCCGAAGTAAGGCTTTATTTCTTGTATGTAATTAAAAAAAAAAAAAAAAAAAAGGAAAAAGGGAAAAAAAAGGGAGAAATCTGCACGCTGATCCCAAGGCACCTACAGCAACTTAATGCCTGGAACCACTGGATTCCCCCCATCTTTGCATGTCTCCCTCCACACACAGCGGGAGCCGGCACCCTTGTGGCCCTCTCCGGGCGGTTCATTCCCGTTTCCAAGCCAATTCACGGCGTATTGACGGTCTCCGAGCCCAGGGGGCTCACAGGGACATATCCGTGTATGCCTGGCAGGCCCATGGGCGCCGGGCCGCGCCGCCGCCTCGCGGCCTGCACCCAGGTCCCGCCCAGTGCCCTGCTGCTCTCCTCAGCCTCCCACCCGGGAAAACAACAGTTTTCTCTGCTTCTTTGCCTAGACAGAAGAAGATAAAGTCTGTTTGGAGCACATGGAATTACTTCGACCAGCAAGGATCAAGTACTGTCCTGTATCTGAAGCACTAAAATCACCACAGCGTCAAAGCTGGGTAGTTCAGAAGGAAGGAAGACAAGAACAACAAGCTGCCTCACAGGCATTACCCATCATGTGTACACATACTGCAGCAGAAGCCTACAGAAACTGTCTGCAGATTTTGTTGCGGCGGTGTACAGGCAAAATCCACAAAACGACGCCTCAGTTTGCAGCTCGAATCTGTTATGAGACTGAGCTCTGGAATCCAGTGGTCATGTTTGTGATGGGAAGAAGCGACTTCTTCATGTGCTAAATCACCACTACAGGTTAGATCTACACTAAACCACCACAGGTTAGAGATAGCACAGGAGAGCTTTCTCCTTTCCAGTATTTCATTCAGGCTTACAGCTTTAATGACATTATGTGCAGCCTAGGAGGAAAGGCTCAATGGGGAAGCATCGGAACAGGCTGCCCAGGGAAGCTGTGGAGTTACCGTTCCTGGCAGTGCTGAAGAAACGTGTGGATGAGGCACTTAGGGACAGGGTTTAACAGGCACAGTGGGGATGGATTTACAGTTGGACTTGATGATCTTGAAGGTCTTTTCCAACCACAGTGATTCTGTGATTTCTATCATTCTAGATATGTCATTCTAGAATCTGGAGATGTCACCCTATCCTGCTTGCCACCAGTCACTCAGCAGCATTAAATAAAGAAATCCACAGATACGAGTGGATTTCTCGTGAGCAATTTCTTGTGAAATGTAAGCATTTCTCAAAACATTTTCATTAGGTGCCCAAGCCGGGAAGCTCCTAACAGTTACTGATAAAACAGTTACTGATTTCCACAGAGCTTAATCCCAAACAAAACGTTCCAAGGGCAGCTTTGCTGGTGTTTCGCGATTGCCAGACCCACTGAACACGCTGTCATGTCAGTCTCCAAGACTGCTTCAGCACTCCTTGCTCAGCAAAACATTTCAGCTCTTCCTCAGTGTTTAAGTGGTCTCTCCAGTTTAAAGGCTACTTGTTTGACACTAAGTCCCCTCAAAATTTTAGGCGTTTGCAGTTAAGCTTCCCGTGAGGCATCCTTGTGCTCGAGTACCACAGTGTGCATGGAGCAAATGCGGCTATTGGCACTGTTGTCAAACGCTCCATTTCCACACTCGCCACCCAGCGCTTGGGCTCCTGGCCCCAGGTTTCAGCACATGGAAAAGAGAGGGAAGGAAGTACAGTTGTGTATGTAATAGAATCATGTCCAAATAGGCACAGAACAAGATATTTATGGCATTTCTAATATCCAGTCACCCTCCCCTTCAGCTGTTACGAGGCCTGCAAGAGCTCTGAGATGAGAGTACGTTGCATTGCTACCCAAAACCAGCTCCCAATTTGCCAGTGTATGTTTAGCCAGAGAAGGAAGACAAATGCTACGAGGCTTCAGGGGAAGTTGAGGGAATTTCTGCTGTCTCTCAGTTTTGTTCAAAGTCCAGCTTGCTCAATTTATTACTCTGTGTGCAGCGCATGCCCCTAAGCAGAGCGAGCTACTGCTCAAGACCAAGGCCCACCACGCTTATAGGCACCAACACGGGCAGAACTTCTGCGAAGAGTGGATTACACAGAGAAATCAGATATTACACAGCACTAAGCTGCAACTGAAATACAAACCTGCAATTAGAGAGGAAAAAAAACAAAAAGAAAACAAAAGAAACAACAACAATATTTTGTCACTTTCCACCACTGAGTTTCTTTAGCTTGTTTTCTTTCTCACACTTTTGTCAAGGTTTTTCAGGACCACTTTAATTTCCAGCATGCACTGTAAAAGTCAGCAGCTAAGACTGCAGTGCCATTTGCAGCTTCATGCTCTCCTGAAGCTTGAGGCCTTAAATATAGCACCAATTTACATAAATATATCCTACAGAAAAGACAGGCGCACTTCCAGTCTTTGGTGCAATGCTGGGAAACAGTGAACAGAAAAAGCAACCATAAAAAAGCAGAGCTAGCATCAACTTCCAGTTTAGTTACAATTCATAGCATAGCCAAAAGAAAAAAAAATATGATGTTAAAAAGAAAATAAAATCAGTTCCTCATGCAACTGTGCCTCTTACACAGAGAAATGCAGCAGGGCAACTGGGCCTGAGTGTTCATCTTCTGTGGCCTGCAGACAGGAGCCCTGGCTATTCTTGATACTGAAAGGAGAGGCCACAAACACTCTACGAATTCTTCGAAGCAGGACAGTGGTTGGGAATTCCTTCCACACTCAAACACCCCATCAGGCCAAGCATTCAAAAAAAAAAAGATGATGATGACTAGTTTTCATCAGTAAATTAAAACACTTCTTTGCCTCAGAGTTTTATATTCCATGCTACCTGAAACCACATCAGATAAAGGAATTTAAAAGTAGGCTTTGCATTTAACAGGCTATAAAACTTATTCTAGTAAGGCAGGGATAGGCCACGTTCGGACATCAGAAGTCATTTTATGATGGTGGCAAAAGCAGAAAACCAGGTTTTAATCTCATTCTGCAGTATTGGAACATCATGTCCCAGTGCCACTGAGCTCATTCTTACATGTCACTGTCTCAAGTGGCATTTAAGCATGTTTAAAAACTGTCTGACCACTTAAGTGTTTTGTTACAGGAGGTCTGTAAGACTTTCACATATATCACAGGATCACAGAATGGTTGAGGTTGGAAGGGACCTCTGGAGATCATCCAGTCCAACCCCCTGCTCCAGCAGGGACACCCAGAGCACGGGGCACAGGGCAGCATCCAGGCGGGTTGGGAAGATCTCCAGAGAAGGAGACTCCACAGCCTCCCTGGGCAGCCTGTGCCAGGGCTCTGGCACCATCACGGGAAAGAAGTTCTTCTTCACATGGAGATGGAGCTTCCTGTGTTTCACGTGTGCCCATTACCCCTTGTCCTATCATTGGCTACCACATCTATCTATCTAACCCTAACCATAGATTTTTATTGATCTCTCTATATATATTTATAAATACACATATATAAATTTATATTTAGTTGGAGAATTCACCAAACAACTAGCTCTGACTAGAGTCAGTCAAATCAATACACCTATAGCCAGAGCTACTGATTCGCCTTCCATCTTCCTACAGGTGGGTTGATTAAAGAGCTTCTTTAAACGCAGAAAATTTAATGGTGTCTGCTCTTACCAAACAGCGCTCAAAACTTATAGCCACTCAAAGATACTGTTTGCTCTCCTCTTTCCACGAAAGTTAAAAATTAAAAGTATCCCCACTGATCCTATGTGCAGCTCAACAGCCCAGATTAACTTCCAGAGATTACTGGAAGTTTCCCTGCCTTACTGAAACACCTGGATAGCCACGTTTGGGCTCCCCAGCAGCCGCCAGCCACAGGCCACTTCTGCCTCCCCCTCTTGCAGGTGTCGCTTCTTGCAGGAAAGGAATCCCAAGCGCAGCTCCACAGGGATTAATGCATTGCACTTCCAGATTTACTATGCAAATACCGTGCTTTAAATCACAGCTTCTAACTTGTTTCAAGAGAGATAGGTGATATAAAACTCTGCCAAAAGTAAAGTAGCTTTTTTCTTTTTTTTTTTTTTTCTTTTGAAGTTAACAGTATTAAAGCACAAGCAAAATGCAGAAGAGGAAAGTTTCGGAATTATCAAGTTCAAGAGAGGTTGGAGGTGCCCAAAGGTTGCATACAATAAAACCAATGAATTATCCAGAAATCCTGAATCTGATTTAAAGAGCACAGGAGCAGGTTGTTTTCCTGGAAGAAAAACTCTGACTGCTCCATATCTTGCCTTGCAAATACAATTGCTTTTTACTCCAACTGCCTGCTTAGCATTAAGAGGAGCCACTCATTCACACATTGCTTACATTATACACACAGAAAGGGACCAAAAACCTTAGGCAAGCTTTTCTTTTCTTCTCTCTCCATACACTATAAGCTTGAAGCACTAAAAACTGAGTATCTTTTACTAAAATTCTCTCCTTATATTCAGTGGAAACAAACAAAACCAACAAACA